TATAAAAGGAAGTATATAAGTAGTCTTTATATAGTAAAGAAAAGTAGTAGTATAAGTATTTAATATACTAAGACACTAGTTAGTTATTTAGTAAATATAGTAGTTATAAGGTATATTATAAATAAGCTTATTTTCTTTAATATAAGTATAAAAGTAATAAAAAGTAAGTAAAGTAAAAGAAAGTACTAGAGGGCTAATAGAATTACTTTAGTTAATAAGACTAGTAGTAGTAAGGCTAGTAGTAGTAGTAGTAGTATTATTAGTAAAAGTATTAGTAAAAGTAAAAAAAATATAGTAATAGTAAAAAAGCTAGTACTAATACTAGTACTATTATTATTACTATTACTACTAAGTAGTAGTAGTAATAGTAGTAGTAGTAGTAAAATAAAAAAAATAAAAAATAATAATAAAGTAAAACTATTAAAAAAAAAAAAAAAAATTAAAAGTAAAAAAATTAAAGAAAAAGTAAAGCTAAAAAAGTTACCTAATTAGGCTAAATAAGAATAATAAAGTAAGTTATAATAGTATCTTAAGCCTATAAAGTAAAAAGAAAATAGTAAAAAAGAAAAAAAAGATAAAACCTAAAAGGTTACTAGTATAGCTTACTAAAAGGCTAAATAAAAGCTCTTTTTTATTATAAAAGTAGTATAACTTAAGGCTTAGGCTATAAAGAAATAAAAGTAATAAAAAAGGTAACTATATAATAAAGGCCTACTAAAGGTATATAGTACTTAAAAAAGTATTATAGTTAAAAAAATAAAAAAGTAATAAAAGTATTATAAGTAAATAAAGTATCTTTATTATAAAGTAAGTAACCTTTAGTAAGGCTAGTTAAATAATAAAGGCTTATAACCTAGCTAAAAATAACTATAACCTTAGAAAAGTAATAGTCTTAGCCTAGTTAGACTATAATAGCTATAAAAGTAAAGTTAAAAGTAATTAGCTAACTAAAAAAATAGCTATTTACTTAGTAACCTACTAAGCCTAGAGGTATTCCTAAACACCTCTAAGATACTAGCTAGCAGTAGAGCCCTAGGGGCCTACTAAAGTACTACTTAAGGTCCTAAGGATAAGACCTTAAGGGGGAAGGATTATATTAGGTGCTAAAGGTAGAGGGCACTAAGGGACTACTAGCTATAGGGCTATAACTAAGAAAACTATTATCTAAGGGTTATATAAAAGCAGAGTTTATAGGAACAGGAGAATTAGGAGAAAGTAGATTAGAAAATAGTTATAATTAACCCTAAACTACACTATTTATAGACTCCTCTACTTAGTACTATAACACCTCTAATATTCCTTTATTCTTTTGTTCACTGACAGCTAAACGTTGACTTTTCCCTTACATCATCACTTGTATCATTCTGGACAGAAATGCTATCCTCTTTTCCTAACCCACTGAACCTCTTCCTCTCTCCATTCCATGTTTCGCCTTCTACCTGTTATCCTAGATTCGGGAGTCATACTGGTGCGATGGCGCGAACTGCTGAATACAGAGAGAGCCCGGTATTAATTATTTGTTCTTTTTTGGTATCATCAAAGCTAGGTGTACAGCCACGGACAGGTGCCTTCGTCCATGTTCCCGAAATCGGCATCGTGTATCCAGTCATTCCCGAGGTCCAGCGTGGGTCCGCTCTCAGTATTATACCCCAAGTCCAAGTGCTCATAGTTGAAATTAGCAGCAGGTTGCTGGTTGCTCCAAGCATCGAAATACCCTTCCATTTCTTTCAGGGGAGAAAAGTCCACGTCCAAAAATTTGGAAAACGCGTGAGGGGCCTGGAGCTTACCGCCACCACAGAGGGTGACGGCCCGCGTTTGAATGTTGTTTTGCTTGTTATGGAGCTTTGCGGCTTCGGCCAGGTTCAAAGCCTTCCACTTTGCGGTCAACTTTTCCAGCTCCAAAGATGCCTTCTCAGCTACAGGGTAGGACTTTCCGATTTCCGAAAGTGCCTCCAAGGAACTCTGGAGAAGGGTGTTGTGGCTTTCAAGCTTCGTCGAACGGAGATTGACCAGGTGGATGCTCCCAGCGATGAAGATGAAGTGGACTACTGACGGCGGCATTTGCCGAATGTTATAATAGCGCCTGTAGTTCAAAACCAGCTTAGTGATGTTTGCCGCGGCCGTGGCGCATATCATTGACGATTGTGACGGTTTGGCGGTGCTGGATTTGAGGTCGTCACAGTCTCGAGGGAACCGCATAAACGGGCGATGGAGAAGTATGAGGGCGAAATAAAAATTCATTCTGAATAATTCGTTAGCTCGTTTGCCGTGTAGGAAGTCGGCCAGCGAAGCGGTCCGACCATGGCACGGGGGACTATTGCTGTGTGAGAACCACTTACTGTAAGATGAACACGCAGGGCTCTGCCGACTTGTTTTCATCGCAGGACCATTTCAAAACTCCGGGTAATGCTTGGCGCCATTTCCATAGTTCCTCGTGCAAATGAGATGCTTTCGACCCCAGCTCGCCAGTTGTTGTTTGGCGTCTTTGTCGATGAATCCCAACCAGTATCTTGGAGCACAACACTGATAGAGATGAGGTAGCACACAACAGTGTCAGAGACAAATCGGGCGTCTCCTGTACGAAACTATCTACCGCTCGATCAGGAACAGCTACAGTAATGTCCCACTCCATGAAGGAAATCGGTCTTCCGCAATAAGCGCTGAAAAGACTAGTTTGATGCCAGTCAGATTCCGTCATGCTTGATTCAGAACAAAGAGCTATTTGCTGTAGGGTTTGCTTACTTGTCTTCCATATGACAGCCCCAAAATACCCTACGCCTAAGCTCGGCCATTTCGGGAGTCATTTGGCCGGACGCTACGGCCTTGGTGCTGTCCAAATGAAGGCCCAGTTTGCTGGCTATTCTGAAAGCAATTCCTGGGGACATTGTCAGTCGCAATTGCGCCGATAGCGATATATCGAGGGTCACGTACCGCTATACATCCATCCTAAAGAGTTATCCTTCATGGACCCGTATCGACAGCCAAGGATCAACGCGGCCTGGACTGTCGTGATTTTGGGATGGTCTAATTCTAGTTCTAATAACGCGCGAGCCCGTTTCGCAAAAGCCTCGCCGGCAACACCATCCGCCGAAGCGGAGTATCGCGTGACCCCTTTGTCGAGGCTGATCATTGACGCGAGCGCAAGCAGCGCGTACAGTAAGCACGGGGAGTAAAAGTCCCGATCGCCAAATCCTTCACTCCTGTCCCAGATCTGCCTATGACGGAGAAACAGTGCCTGGTCAACGACGAGCAAGTGAGATGACTGCCACTGCCAGAAAAGGTCTAGCAAATAGGTCACGATGGGCTCGGGCTCGGGAAAAGTCTCGAGAGCCATTTGCGAACGTATATTTAATTCTTTTTCTGATGGGCGGTACTCTTCTTTCGGGTCCGTCGTCTTCTTCGCATTCTCCGAGTATGGGAACAGACTGGCAGAGTCTGAAAAAGGATCGAAATCGTGTATGCTTGCTGGAGAAGACACCTCCTCCAATGCTGAAGGAAAGTCGTCAGAGATGGTATCGAAATCTGGTCTGCTCGGAACAGAGAAGGATGCGGATCGATGTGAGTCAGGTGTGGGGTTGTCGACTTTCGGTCTGTTCTGTCCTGAGAAGGACGCAGATCGAAGAGAGTTTGGAAGAGGTTCCAATTGCGCTTTAGACCAAGCCTGTTCGTCGTCAGGGGGGGATATCGAAATGGTCATGTGCGCATTGGGGCTTGAGGAGTTGGCGGGACTGGGAATCGCTTGTGTCCTGGAATTCTGAAAGTCTTCAAGGGCACGTTGAGTCTGTTCCATCAGATTGTCGACGTCCATGTTGTCTCTTGATGATGGAGGTTTTCCTTCAGCCCTGGCGACGTTCCTTACGAACTCCTCCAGGGCCTGCATCCGCCTCTGCAGGACCTTGGTTTCATTTGGCTGGCGTTGACTGCGCTTGTCCTCGCCGTACCGGACCTCGCACTTCTCGTTCTTGTTGCGGCACGCCGTGCATGATCGATCGGGCTGGTCTCCTGAACTAAGAACTTGTGAGATGTCGCAGCGTCTCTTGTCCTTTTTGCAGCGGACGCATGCGAAGCTCGCGCGACTGGCATGTCGCGTTCGGGTCATGGTGACTATTGGGTGCCTCTTCTCAGTGATTGTTTCTCGAATTGGTCGGTGCTGGGGAGCAAGAATGGTGAATACGGTCGAGTGTTGTGTTAATGTGGGTGAGTGGGTGCGTTTGTATGTGGGTGGCGATTGGGGATGCAAGCCATGCGGCGGGAGACCAGAAGAAATGTTGGATGCCAACGAACCTATTTCAAAGTTCACGATGTTTGCTATTATAGAACCGAAACGAGGGAGAAGAAAGTCTCCGGCATTGCCCTTCTAGGACTAGGACCTCCATTCCTAAACATCGAACAACACGCACACGCATACGCCCCCCCAGGTAAGGATGATGGGAGAAGTGTGGTTCTCGCCCCATGTCGGCTCAAGACATAACGTCAGCCAATTGTCATTAGCCAACAGCAACTGAGCTGCACGCGGTTCGTGGTGTGGTTGGAATTGCTCTTGTCGAGGGCGCGGGACGAAGACCGGACAAGACGTGCCGGGGAGCCCGGGGATGGGCAGTAAAGGGGGCGACGCCAGTTGAACGGTGAAGAGGCGGAGCGTACCACTTCGTGAGCGAGTTGACTGGAGAACTCGGGGCTCAGACGTAACCACGGGTTCATTTGTGTGAGGGGCCGTTGTTCAGACACCATCGTGAGATTCCATTGTCTTCTAACATGGATCCGGGACCTGAAATGCGTGTCAGTTTAACCCAACTCCCAGGGTCGCCAGAGATCCTCGAAAGTGCTCACATACACTACATACTAGCATTACGCGGAACGTCGTCCGGGCCGGGGATCCTCAAGACGCCACAGCCTTGCCCCCCCCCCCCCCCCGCGAACCCCCAGACTCCCGCATATCGGACCCCCTCGAACTCAAAAAGATCATCCAAGCCAACCCGCCGCCACCATTCCCCGGTGGCGTCTGTGCCTCGCCTTCGGGTTGCCGTTTTGGGCAATCCGGCGCATGCGATTTCCCTGGGACCCTCACCACCTCAATAGTTCCGGTTCTGGTCTCATCCAACAAGAAACACGCGACGTTGGGGACGGGAGAGTACCCGGTTTTCTTCGAATTGCCAAAGTCTGGACCTCTCATGATCCGGTCGCATGACCCTCATAAGGAACAGCCAAGAAGCAGTTGGGAACGCCGTCTGTCGTGGCTGCGTCGAAACATTCGCCCGCCGGAGAGGCAAAGCTCCACAGAGCAGACACACACACACACGCCCACGCACATTGTTCCCGCCGCCAGCCTCCAGGACAAGAACGTGGGGAGTGCGTAGTAACTAATACGAAAGATGCGGAAAAGTGAGAAGGCCTTCACACACCCTCTCCGGACAATGGCACCCTGGCGCGAGTGGGCGCTGCGGGGACGTCTGAAGCCCATTTCCGCAATTCTGGGGAAAGGGGTTCACTCACCGGTTCTCGGTTCCGCCTTTTTGCAGAAAGCCCAGCCGCCACCGAGCTTTATTTGGCACCGTCTGGCCCCCTGGTCTTTTCAAGGCAGGTGACTGACCGGCTCGCTTCTTGAACGGGGGCAGTGAGGTGGTTCCCCGAGCTTCCGAGCCCATCATGCTGTGTCACCCTATTGATCGTGGCGGACATCCACGGTTGGGTCTTGTGCGGCTTCGGCATACGACATTCGGACATTGATTGATCATTGGGCATGAACCAACTTCTGGCTTGTTGCGACTTGCCGAACTGTCGCATTCGCCCACCCACCATTGTAGAGAAACAACTATAGAGCAGCTTTGCATGCTCCACTTCAGAACTGTTCCGCATGCTTCGGTGACCGTCGGGCAGGCTATCAGTTCTTGTACACATGTAGAATCGATCGACCTGATCAACATCGAATGTTGGCTGACAGTTTTGGTGCGTCAGAGATTCGCACAATGAGTACTAATTGCTCCCCTCTGGCTGGGAACCAGTAGTAATCGGCGATCGTAATGACAATTTCATGATCGTCAGTACAAGCATCTTCATATCATCACAGGCTGAAGCCAGGGATCGCAAAGTCGGTAATCCGGTTCCCTTCTTGTTTCTTCTCCCATTTTCCGGTAATCAAGAGCTGGACGCGGAGATCTATAGAGCTTAGGAGCAGGAAAGAGGAATTGCTATCTTGTTGCCACAGCTGTGACAGAGAGGAGATTCGTGTATCTGGGAAACTGCAATTCCCGAGGTCTGCAACCAATAACTTAGCAATTGAACATTTTGAGCAGACAATGTTGAACTGTAGTGATGTTAGGCCTTTTTGATCACAAGTCCACGAGTTGGTGGCAGTTGGAACATTGCTATAACACAATGGTTAGGTCACTGATCCAATATCAATTAGAAATACCCCGTACGGCAATTTGATATTCAAAAGACGACGTTTTGTTCGATTACACTTCTCAACCATGAAATTAACGCTAATTATAACTGATTACATCATGCCATGCCCGATTGCAAGCCCTTGATGGCGACCATCGCGCCCCAGGCACCAGGGTCGGGATGGAATGTGGTACCCTTCTCCGTCACGGCGATGTACGTCGCCCGGCCAAGCTTGGCCTTTGTCTTCCTTGTGTACTCGGCGCCTTGAACCGCCGCCTCGACAGCTTGTTCGAAGCCCCCATCGCTGATGGCCGAGACGAAGGGGATCAGCACGTCGAGGATTGTGCGGTCTCCGACCTTGGCGGGCGTGTAGTGGCTGAGGTGCTCCAGGGCGGATGTGAGGGCCAGCGTCCAGAGGGACAGGATGCTTTGTGACTTTGCGAGGTGCGCGTTCTCCTCGACAGAGTTGCTGAGCGAGACGAAGAAGATGCCGAGGATGCCCCCTAGCGTGCCGCCCATCTTGCTCTCCACGATGTCTTCCAGTTCGTGGAGGACGGAGACGATGGAGCCTTCGGAAGCAATGCCCTTATTATCCAAGGCCTCGAGGAGGTGCGACGCGCCCGTCTTCAGGGTCTCACCGCAGTCACCGTCTCCCATGACCATGTCCCACTTCGTCAAGTCAGGCTCGGCCTCGATGACGGCCAAGCAGGCCGTGCGCAGCATGGACTTGAGAGTCGCGGGGTCCATCCTCACATCCCTGCTCGCCTCAATCGCCTTGGGTTTCTCTGAAGGGGAGACTACGAACTGTAGCTTCCGGTCGCGTCTGATAGCTTGTGAGCCGGCCATGGACTCCCAGTGTGTGTTGGTCTTAACGTCAGCAAACTCCAGGATCTGCTCTGCTGAAAACGTGCACTTCTCAGCTGCCGTCGTGATGTTCATGAGGGATACCGAGAACGCTGGGGCGTTGAGCGAAGTTTCGAGGGGACCGGAGAATACCCTCGACGGGCGAATGTTCCACTTCTCGTCGAGCTGCTGAAGAAGCTCGTCTACCAGGGCGCCCATCTCCAGGTAGGAGATGCCGCCAAAGTTGCTGACCAGCAGGATTGTCTCGTCGTTGGGGCTGAACTTGACATACGATCTCTCTGGGTCGTTCTGGTCGAGGCAGTACCGCAACAACTGATCGATCAGAGCCTCGGGCGACGGGCTCGGGGTTACCTTCTTGTACCCGGGCTCGTTGTGCGGCCCGGTTCCAATCTCCACCTCGTTGAGATCGAGACGAGCGTGTTCTGAGCGACCCGGCACGTGGCAGTGGTCCATCGTTGCCGCAATGGAAACGATCTCAGACTCCACCGCGACGCCGAGCTTGTGAATGTCGTCGAGTGACCCGGCATTTGCGCCGGCCGCTCCACCGAGGATTTTGAGAACACCAATCTGCCCAGCAAGACCTCTCCGACCGACCAGGCCGCCACTCTTCTTACCGACCGAGACGTCATCGCCACAGATGATCATGCGGCAGTTGTGACCGCGGTTGCGTGCCTTCTCGGCTGCAAGCCCGAAGTGAAGGCAATCGCCCGTGTAGTTAGTGATGACCAGGATGGTGCCGACGTCTGATGGCACGCGCTCAATGGCCGCTGAGATTTGCTTCGCGGAAGGACTGGCGAATATGTCTCCCGATACGGAGGCGGCCAGTAGGTTTTTGCCGACGTAGCCAGCCCATGCCGGCTCGTGGCCTGAGCCTCCACCGGAGATGATGCTGATCTTTGACTTGTCGTATGTGGTGTCGAAGACTACGCGGTTGGACTGGTCGAGACCGAGGGAGGGATTATATGAGATGAAACCCCTCAGAGACTTGTCGACAAGCCCCTCGGAGGACGTGAAGATATGCCGGTCTGACATGGTCGTTGGGGCGAAAGTTTTGTGTGGTTGTTGGCCAGCAGGATTTGGGATGGATGCTTGGAAGCACTTATTCGCACGAACTAGAATTGCTTCGAAAGGCGCGTATTCTTTGACTCGTCATTCACATCAGAAAACCTGCTGAACGAGCAGCATCATATGGTATACGGTCGGGTGTCATTGTGCGATTTTCCGAAGACCCGGTCAGTCGGCCTCAGCTGCATAACACCCCCGGATTTCCGCAGCGGAAGATCGGCTAGGCGTCATGCTACCCCCGACGGCGCATCTGCACTACGTCGAGGTCCTTGGTGAATCATCTCTATCCTGTATAAGTATTAAGAAAGAGGACGGAATCCGGATTTGTTTCTTTGCTCATTGATACCATAAACTCAAATTGCCCGGCAGTTCACCGCCATATCCCCAGTCTTCAACTTGTACTTGATTTCCTGCTGCCATTGACCTACACATCCATAGCATCTCGACCAACAAGACTTCAAGATGGGCAGCAACTCAATCCCAAAGTACCGCATTGTCGTCGGAAGCGATGTGAGAACCTCCCACGCTCTTCACCTGGCACTGAACTGACACCCCTTGCAGGAGGCCGGCATCGGTTACAAGGACGCAATCAAGGCGGATTTCCAGAAGGACCCCCGCGTCGAGTTCGTCGAGGACGTGGGAAGCCACGAGACGGCCGACAAGACGGCCTACCCCCACAGAGCGGCAGCGGCAGCCAAGCTGGTTGCCGATGGCAAAGCCGACCGCGCCCTGCTCATTTGCGGCACGGGGCTCGGCATGGCCATCGCCGCCAACAAGGTCAAGGGCATCCGGGCTGTGACTGCACACGACAGCTTCAGTGTGGAACGGTCGATTCTGAGCAACGATGCGCAGGTGTTGTGTATGGGCGAGAGGGTAATCGGCTTGGAGCTTGCAAGGAGGCTCGCAAAAGACTGGCTCGGATACGTATTCGATCCCACCAGCCAGAGTGCAGAGAAGGTTCATGTGATCAAAACTCTTGAGGCTGCTGCATGAAAAGGATATATATTTGGAGGTATTAGTGATCTAATTAGCGTACAATAATTCATCTCGAGTTCCAATCCCACTTCGTCACATCACCTACGAGTCATGCATGGTACATGCTGTAGTGCAAAATAGTAACGTCCACAGCACTAAGAGTGGGCTCAGTGGCCCCTGGAGGTCAGTATATGTAGCAGTTCCATTTCTAGGTATGTTAGGTTACAAGTTTAAGGATGATACAGGCCAAAGGTCGCCGGGGCTTGCACCGCTTTGTATATATACAGTCTGTTGCGTTGGCAGCGTCCAAAACCTACTTTTTAGTCTGTGCGTTAGCAACACTATCACAATAACCACCCTAGTTAGGGTCACACAGGGGGGTTACCCTACTAAGTGGCTATATACTTTTAAATTATTTTATATTATATAGATACTATAGTATAAATAGCTTTAATTAATAAGCTTATTACTATTACTGTTTAATAATAGCACTAAAGAAAAAGAAGAATACTACCTCTAGTAGTATAAAGGTATTACTAGTACTACTAGCTAATAGTACTTAAGCCTATAAGGCTACCTATAAAGAATTATTATTATATATAGTTATTAAGTGCCTTATAGTAGTAATAATAAAGTTAATAATAGTTATTAAGACACTATAAAAGCTAATAGTTACTATAGTAGTAATAAAAAAATTAATAATAACCTTTAAGACACTAAAAAAGTTAGTAAAAGTAACTATTAATAAAAAAAAGTTAATAATAATAATAATAATAATAATAATAATAATAATAATAATAGTAATAAGCTTACTAATAATAATAAAGAGCCTATATAATAAGTACTTTTTATCTTTAACTTTTTTAAAATACTATTATAAACTTTATTACTATTATAGTAGTAATAAAAGGTAGTTACTATTATAGTTACTTTTTTACTACTACTACTACTAACTAAGGTAATAATCTATTTTACTTTTAGCCTTTAGTTTAATAGTATTATAGTACTATAAGTCTAGCCTTTTTAAATAGTATAGTAGTTAATAAGTTAAGTATTAGTAAGTATAATAATTAAGTTAAAGTAAAAGAAGTAGATCTTAAAAAAGATAAAAAAGCGTTTTTAAAAGTAACTTAGTAAGTAATACTTACTATTAAAGTTATAAATAACTATTAAGTTTAGTAAAAAAAAGAAAACTATAAAGATAAAAAATAATACTTACTATAGTAATAATTTTAGTAAAGTAAGTAGTAAGTAGTTAGCCTTACTATAGGCTAAACTTAGCTTTTAACTAAGTAACCTAGGCTACTAAACTTAAGATATCTTCTTTAGTATAAAGCTTATATACTTTACTAGTTTATTTATATTAGTATTTAGTATACTATAATTAATTATAAAGTTAATAAGTAAATAACTTAACTATAGTAAGTACTCTAACTATAGTAAGCACTTTAACTATAGTAAGTATTTTAACTATAATAAGTAACCTAACTATAGTAAGTAACCTAACTATAGTAGCTAGCTATTATATATAAAATTAATAAGAAAAATAGTAATAAGTTTAATAAAGAATAAAATTAACTAAGAAAAGGATATAAAGAAAGACCTATAGTAGGATTTAATAAAGTATTATTAGTATATAAATTAAGTAAGTTACTATAATAGTAATAAAGTAAATAATAATACTAACTAGTGTTTAGTTATTAATAAAGTCTACTATAAGTTACTTACTAGTAACCTTAAAGGTTAATAAACTATAATACTTTACTATAAGGTAACTTTAAAAACCTTACTACTAGGCCTAGTAGTTATAGTTATTTAGTAGTAAGTAAAAAATAAAATACCTATATAAAGTAAAATTATAAGTAATTTACTCTCTATAGTAGTAGTTAAAGGAGGTAAAAATCCTACTAGTAGACCTTTACTACCTACTATAAATAACTCTACTAGTAATATAGTAGTTAATTTATTCTTTAGTAGTAAAAAAGTTAACCTATATACCTAGTAGTAGTATTAACTACTTTTTTACTAGTAACTATCTCTAATTTAACCTTATTATTACTTATTTATTACTTTATTAGTTACTTTATTACTAGTACTATAAACTTCTTATATAATAAAAGAGGTTAAAGTACTATTATTATTACCTTTATAACCTAGAGAGTAGTTACCTATAGTATAATTACTAAAGTTAAGAGATTTTACTAGCTAGTTTCTTAAAGTTAAAAGGTAATAATAGGGCTATAAAGGTAATACTAATATAGCCCTTTAGTAATTATAAAGCTTATTATTAAGTCTAGTAGTTATTTAGTGTATACTAAAAGAGTAGTATAAAGAGAAAGGTATACCTATATCTTTTATTAACACTATATAAAGGTTAATTAAGACTTTTTTATTTACCTAATAGTATTATAAGTGTAGTAGATATAACTTTACTAGTTTTAACTAAAGGTATAAATTACTATATATTACTAATAAAGTTAATAAAGTTAATAATATTAATAAGCTTCCTTTTATAAATACTATAACTAATAAGATAATAAGTAACCTTAAGAGAGGGAGATTTAGTTAGTTAAATTAAATCTAGTAGTTATAACTATATTAACCTTTATATAGTAAATACTTTCTTTATATTTTTACTTTTATAATTAGACTATTTATTATTACCTATTATTTATATAAGTTAATACTTTTCTAACTTTATAATATATAATAAGCTTAATAGTAATAACTTTAGTCTTAATAAGTTATATAGTAATAGAGCTAGTAACCTAATATAAGTAGTTAATAATAAGTTATTAATAGATTTATATAAAGGTAGTAAAAGGTAATATAATAAGGCTAGTAGTAAAAGTAAATAAGTAGTTACTATAGTTAGATTTCTTTACTATTTATTAATAGTTATTTTTTTCTTTTATTACTACTTTAATAATAGTACTTTCTTTACTAGTTATAGTAGTAACTTTAACTTTACTACTGTTATTAAATTTTTTTTTATTAATTAATATATTATTAAATAACCCTTATATACTTTTAAAGTTAATAAATAAGTAATAAAAATACCTTTTTATTTACTTTATCTCTTAACTAACCTTTACTATATAGTTATAAAGTAGCTCTTTAAATTCTTATAAATTCCCTTTATCTTTATTCTATACTAAGTACTACTTATAAAGAAGCTTTTTAAGGTTACTAAATACCTCTTTAATAAGGTTAAAGTTAAGTAAGTATAGTAGTAAATATAATAGTTATACACTAGCTAAATTATATACCTCTTAAATATCTTATTAGTAATAAAAGCTAGCGTTATCTATAATAATAACTAACTTTACTATAGGAAAAGCATTATACTTAAGTAAAACCCTCTTTTTTATTTATGTTATAAACCTATTACTATTTATTAAGCCTAAGTATATTAATATATTAAATATACTATTTATAGTAAAGGTAGAAAGTATTTAGTATTACTACTTATATTTAAGCTTATCCTTTTAATAAAGTACTAGACCTTTTAGTGCTTAGCCTATTCTTTATACACCTATATATTTATTAACACCTAACTTATTAATAAATACTAATTACTTTAGGTAGTACTTATAAATAGTATATATCTAGTTATACTATAATACCTTATCTTTTTAAGTAGTAATAATATAAATTAACTTTAAAGTCTAACTAGCCTTATAAAGTTACTAACTAATCTTTAACTTATATACCTCTATATTAAATTACTTATAAAAAAAATCCTATATTTCTTTAAGAGTAAGGTTATTATAGTAAGTAAAAAGCTTTAATAATTTATATAGTTATTATACTTTTAACTTTATATAGCTTTACTAACTAGAAAGATAAACTACTATATAGCTAGTTACTTTATAATAATAACACTATTACTAGACTATATAAGTACTATAACTTATTTATATAGTAATTTCTTTATTAGTTTTCTTAAATAACTTTAGTATTTATACTATTTTTTTTTACTTATCTTTATTTAACTTTAGTACTATTATATTTATTTAAGAGTATATTTATTTAATAATAATAGTAAAAGATAATAAAAGAGAAGTTATTATAGACTTTATAGACTTTACTTCTTTATATAAATATATAGTTAGTGTCTAAGACTACTTTTATAGCTTTAGTAACTTAGTTACCTAGTAGGCTAGCTATTATATATAAAGAAGAGGTTATTACTAATAAGTAGCCTTTATATAGGTCTAAATACCTTTATTATTATTATTATTATACGTCTTTAAATTATAACTATTAAATATTACTAAAATACAGATTTTGTATTTTACTGCCTAAAAAACCTAAATTTGTATAGGTGCTGTATTTATGTGGCGTGAGCGCATGGACTGAAAAATGGGTTTTGGATGCTGCTAACGCAACGGACTGTAAACGATGGCAGAGAGGTCAGCACATTGCCACCTTGCCGCACATTGTATACTGATTACGCGTTCTACTATAAGGCTGCAAAACAAGGACATGAGCTTGTTCATTCTTGGAATGGAACGAGAAGAGGCCGGACAACCGGTAAGGGCCGGGTCCCGGGGACTTCCTTTCCGCACACACACACACGCACACATACATCCCCATACGCACGCGCGGGGGAGGGGGTGGTGATATATACGCGCGCACATTAAGCGGAGAATCAACCGATTTTCCGCAATACAAAACCGATAGAAACACCACGACATGCGACACAGTCTGCCTCGCAACAGACAGACTCACGCACGTACATCGCACAACCAAGGTACGCATACAAGGCGGTTGCCCGTAGGCGTACGACCGGACAACGGACTTGACGAAACCAGCACAGCTCAGAACTCCAAACCCCTTTCCAGCTCCAAAATGACGCCATCACCGAACCGGAGGCTCATCGGCCTCTCAACCAAGATGTACTTCCCACTCCAACGCACCCTGGACTTCATCGCCGCTGTCCAGGGTGAGCTAAAGTCTCTATCCCCTCAGGCCCTCGACAACGTCGACATCTTCTTCATCCCCGATTTCGTCTCCCTTCACCCCATCAACCAGGCTTTGAAATCCTCTCCGGTTCCCATCCGACTCGGGGCGCAGGACTGCCACTGGGACGACTTCGGCGCCTTTACTGGGGAGGTCAGCCCGGTCGTCCTGAGCGAGACGGGGGTCACCATCGTAGAGGTCGGCCACGCCGAGAGGAGGAGGCTCTTTGGGGAGACCGATGAAGTCGTGGCGAAGAAGGCCGCCGCGGCCAGTCGGAACGGCATGGCCCCGTTGATCTGCATCGGCGAGAAGACCGAGGGGGATTTGGAGGTTGCCTTGAGCGAATGCAAGACCCAGATCGATCGATCTCTGGCCAATGTCCCCGACTCCGCCGAGGTAATTATTGCCTATGAGCCCGTCTGGGCCATTGGTGCAAGCCAGCCGGCTAGCGAGGACCATGTCATCAAGGTGGTCAAGGGAATCAGGGCATTTGAAAGTGTTAAGAAGAGGACGGGCACGACGAGAGTAATTTATGGTGGCAGCGCTGGGCCTGGTCTATTTGAGAGGCTAGGAGAGGCTGTGGATGGACTATTTCTCGGGAGGTTTGGGCATGATGTACCGCGATTCCTCAAGACAGTGTCAGAGGTGGCTGCATTCCAGAACCCTTGAGGAGATGATTCTTCGAACCAAAAGACCAATGGGTAGTTGAACATCTACCTGCATTTTTTCGTGCATCACACTCTAAAGTAGCTCTCTTATACGGGCATACGGCACTGGGTCAGAGAAACCTGTTACTTTGATAGACGTACCATTAATTTAGGTTGATATTACCGTCCAATTTGGAGAGATGAGGCACTAGCCTGGGGCTTCTTATTGGGCTTATAGCAAAGCATTTCTCCAGTGGTGAATCAGATCAGTCTTGCCACCATAGTAATTCATTGGGTGTGGGCAGATCTTGAAATACGATTAGCCAAAGAACCTCTATTTATTATACAGCGTATTCGTCTTGAAACCCCTTCCCCGAGAAGTGACTTTTACTATAATCTAAGTAAGATGCCAGTGTAAGACACATGGGATAAGAAATTAGCCGGAACCCCTGAAAAGAAGATCTAAAAGTACCCAGAATAAACTTGATTACCCTTCACCTCAAGGCGGTTATGATAGTTACCGTCGCTGCTCAACGGCTAACCGAGAGAACAATAGGCTGTTGCACGCGAGTAGGCTTGGAAAACCTGGTCTCGAATCATCTGGACTCTTCATTCAGTTGCTAACGTATATACATAGTGAGTGGCACATTATAGTGAGTGGCGCACGTCCACCTTATTTCTACTAGCTTTATCCTTACATTAACCTTTCTCTACGTACAACAATAGAATCCTCTTCTTAAGAAAGCTAAATTATCCTTGTAATTATAGCTATCTAAAAAGACTAAAATCTATCTATATAAAAGGTAGCCTCTATCTATAATATACCTAAAACTACACTCTATTATTAATACACTAGAAAAGTTATATAAGCTAAGATATATTTAAAATTAATAAAGATAACTATATCTAAAGAGAAGGTAATTCTTAAAAAGGTTATTAACCTAATTAATTAAGGATTTTTTTTATAACAAGAAGATATATAAAATATAGCTAATTAACTCCTTAATATATATAATAGGATATATATTAGACCTTAATAGGCAGAGAACTTTATATAATAATAACCTTAATTAAAAATATAATTTTAACGTTAGATTAACTATTAGAGGGCCTTAGCTAAGGATCCTATAATTATATAAGGCTAGTTTACACTTATATAAAATATAATTATAAAGTATAAGATATAGGATTATAATATCTATAATTTTAATAAGACTAGGTTTCTAATAAAAATACTATTATATATAAAGGTTATTATAACTTTTAACTAATATAAAAGGCTTTATATAAAGTAGCCTAGTAATTATAAATAGGTTTTTATTATTTAAGGTATATATATAAATAGCTAGGTAATACCTCTATATATTATTATAAAAGGTAAATATTACCTTTTATTATAGTACCTTAATAGTAAATTTCTAGCTATATAGTATATTTACTTAAGTAAAAATAGATAAACTATAAATAAGATTAGCCTAGATTAGCTAAAGTACTTTAATTAGTATATAAAGTCTTATATAAAAGGTACTTATTACTTTTTAATCCTAGATAGCTATAATAGCTATAAATTAACTAAATTTAATAACTACTAACGTATATATATAGTAAGTAGCGTATTATAGTAAGTAGTACATGTCTACCTTATTTTTACTAGCTTTATCCTTATATTAACTTTTCTCTATATATAATAATAGAATCCTCTTCTTAAGAAAGCTAAATTATCCTTGTAATTATAGCTATCTAAAAAGACTAAAATCTATCTATATAAAAGGTAGCCTCTATCTATAATATACCTAAAACTACACTCTGTTATTAACGCGCTAGAAAAGTTACATAAGCTAAGACATGTTTAAAATTAATAAAGATAACTATATCTAAAGAGGAGGTAATTCTTAAAAAGGTTATTAACCTAATTAATTAAGGATTTCCTTTGCAACAAAAAGATATATAAGATATAGCTAATTAACTCCTTAATATATATAACAGGACATATATTAGACCCTAATAGGCAGAGAACTTTATACAATAACAACCCTAATTAAAAATGCAATCTTAACGTTAGATTAACTATTAGAGGGCCTTAGCTAAGGATCCTACAATTATATAAGGCTAGTTTACACTTATATAAAATATAATTATAAAGTATAGGATATAGGATTATAATATTTATAATTTTAATAAGACTAGGTTCCTAATAAGAATACTATTATATATAAAGGTTATTATAACTTTTAACTAACGTAAAAGGCCTTATATAAAGTAGCCTAGTAATTATAAATAGGTTTCTATTATTTAGGGTATATATATAGATAGCTAGGTAATACCTTTATATATTATTATAAAAGGCAAATATTACCTTTTGTTATAGTACCTTAATAGTAAATTTCTAGCTATATAGCGTATTTACTTAAGCAAAAACAGATAAACTATAAACAAGATTAGCCTAGATTAGCTAAAGCACTTTAATTAGTGTATAAAGTCTTATATAAAGGGTACTTATTACCTTCTAATCCTAGATAACTATAATAGCTATAAATTAACTAAATTTAATAACTACTATAAGGAAGAAGGTATTATTACTTTATATATACCTCCTTATTTATTACATAAGCTCTAGCCTCTTAATATTAGCTATTTTAGCCCTTTAAAGCACTTATACAGTAAAGAAATTAAGAAAATAATACAGATGTAAATTACGTATATTACTAAGGACAACTTTTTTCCTGCCTTTAAAGTAGTATTCTTTACTTTAATAAGAGAAATAAATATATAAGCAGGTTTCTAATAGGCTAGTCTTATACCTTTTAATCCTAAAGTTATTATTTCTTGCCTAGATTTTAAGCTAAAGACACTAACACTAGTTAACTTATGTCTAACTAGCTTAGGCTTATAGGACCTAAAGACACTAACAACAGTAATTAAAGGCATATAAAGCTCTACCTTATTAAAAAAAAGGATTAGGGACTATTAAGGAAGTTTACTAACACTAATATACAAGGTAATTAACTTATAGTTAAAAGGTATTAGTAAGTTAGTATATTAACTTACTATTATTAAGGTAGAGAACTATTAACTTTATATAAGGATAAAGGTACTTAGTAAGCGCTAAAGGGCTAAAAAGACCTAACTATATCTTAAAGGATCACTTAATATAGCTAAAGTAGAGGCACTATAAGGAGAAAAGGACGTTATTAAAGCTAGAGGTAAGGAAATATCCTAAAAGGGGGGTTATATAGAGAGTAGTAAACTACTTGTACAATAATATAGTAATTACAGAAAGACTAGATATAATGTATAAACCTATAAGGTAGTTTAGGATACTAATAAAGAATAAGGTAATATATATTTTTAATTAATTTTATATAATCTAGTTAAATTAAGTTATTAAAAAGATAAAAAGGTAAGTAGATATACACTACTTACTATAATATACTACTTACTATATATATATATTATAAGAAAAAAGGTATTATTACTTTATATATACCTCCTTATTTATTATATAAGCTTTAGCCTCTTAATATTAGCTATTTTAGCCCTTTAAAGCACTTATATAGTAAAAAAATTAAGAAAATAATATAAATATAAATTATATATATTACTAAAGATAACTTCTTTTTTATCTTTAAAGTAGTATTCTTTACTTTAATAAGAGAAATAAATATATAAGTAGGTTTTTAATAGGCTAGTCTTATACCTTTTAATCCTAAAGTTATTATTTTTTACCTAGATTTTAAGCTAAAGACACTAACACTAGTTAACTTATGTCTAACTAGCTTAGGCTTATAGGACTTAAAGACACTAATAATAGTAATTAAAGGTATATAAAGCTTTACCTTATTAAAAAAAAAGATTAAAGACTATTAAGAAAGTTTACTAATACTAATATATAAGGTAATTAACTTATAGTTAAAAAGTATTAGTAAGTTAGTATATTAACTTACTATTATTAAAGTAAAGAACTATTAACTTTATATAAAGATAAAGGTACTTAGTAAGCGCTAAAGGGCTAAAAAGACCTAACTATATCTTAGAGGATTACTTAATATAGCTAAAGTAGAGGTACTATAAGGAGAAAAGGACATTATTAAAGCTAGAGGTAAAGAAATATCCTAAAAGGGGGGTTATATAGAGAGTAGTAAACTACTTATATAATAATATAGTAATTACAGGAAGACTAGATATAATATATAAACCTATAAGGTAGTTTAGGATACTAATAAAGAATAAGGTAATATATATTTTTAATTAATTTTGTATAATCTAGTTAAATTAAGTTATTAAAAAGATAGAAAGGTAGGTAGATATACACTACTTACTATGATGTGCTACTTACTATGCATATACGTTATCTTGACTTAATAGAAATATGATTAATGCTATTTCTGATGCTGAACTTGGTTTGAACTTTAGATATAACGATGGAGAAAGTGCTGGTAGGAACAACCATGAGTGCGTCAAAACCACCGGACTTCGGCCAGCTTTCCCATCTCTTCTTATAACCGCTGGATCACAAGTTCGAGGGCCATGAAATACACTCATGTTCCCACGGCCCTAGCCAATCCAAGGAAGAGTGACTCGCGAGCTTGTTTTTCATTAACAGCGACCTAGCTACTTGTCTAGACTTGTTGGTAAGTACGCCTGCTAGTAAAATCCCCTGCTTCAACTCCTGGCACGAGGCTGCTATGGGTGATAACGTAACTGAACGTAACTGCTTACAACCTTCTCGAGCTGAATTTGAAATCAGTTCCGAAAGTGCATCGCGGGTTCGCTCAATGTTGTCGTTGTCATCGCCCGGTGCCCTTGTCCCATTTTACGACTGTGGTCCTCCAAGGGCCCCTAGCAACCCCTCATTCTTTGATGGCCACACATTGCCAACATTCGGGAGGGCTCGCAGAGTGTCCAGGTTATGGTTGCCAGTCTCGATGACAACTCCGGAAAAGACCGCGTGATCGAACTGCTTAACGACTTTGGTCCTCTCGTCGGCCGTCAACTCGCTGATCATGGCTTTCCTCTCCTCATCCTGCGGCGCCATCGTCAGGTCTGCATTGCCTCTTGTACGGCGTCGCAAGTGCTGGTCGGGGAATGTGTCCGGATGGACGTACCTTGCTGCTGCCGAACTCGACAATGAACTTTTCGCCCATAGCGGCTAGAATCCTGGGTAACACGAATGCGAGAAGGAAGAGCTGCATCAGTTTCGAGGCCCGAGGTAGTTGATGGAGTGTGATGTAAGAATGAGATTGAGTGGGTTTCGTGCCGAATACGTGGTGCCACGTGCAGCACCCTGTCATCCCATACAGGTGTCACGTCACCTTCCTAAAGGGGAATACCAACAAGCCAGATGTTTCCAACTCTGTTCGAATGTTTGACTTATACGCGCAGAGCAAAACCTGCCAGGTGTTGAATACTCTGGAATCTCATATTTCGGTCGCAGTCACAGAGCTAAGACACAGGTGGTATCTGTAACAGTAAGTTGACATAACTTCAGCCGATACCGGAGGTAGCTAAGTCTATTGATGGATATAGTCGCTTTAAACCCCCATAAGTGTTCTAGTGCAGTTCACCTGATACATATGTAATATCACGGTACGTAAAATCCGATACGGGGTGCCTCTGACCTGTGCCAGATCTCAATATCTTGATACGGCATAGAATACCTAATAAGGCAGAGCAACTGCCGAGTCTGACTTCACTCTAACCATGGCGCGAACGACCTTTGGGCGCCGGAATATCGGCGGCAACCTTGGAGAGTCGCTGCTGGGCCGCGGCTTGACGTACCGCTGTTGAACAAGGTCGCGCCGTTTCGCGGCTGAGCCACACTGAACGACGAGGGTGCGACTGACATACCAGCGATCATGGTATCGTCGAATCTACCACCAAGGTCGCGATGGTTGCAAGCCACACGATGACTCCGACCTCTGCTACCACCAAGGTCGGGTAGCCAAGTCTATAGGGGCGAAGAAGAGAAAGAAATAGCGTAGAGATATTGATCCGCTATACATTCCGTGAAATGAAGAGATGTACCATCTTTAGAAAATGCTCAAGGGTAACTCCGGTAGTACCGCGGTTTTGAATCAAATTCCCCTTTAATGCCCTATAAACAGGGCGCTATCGCGATAATGAGGCTTGGTCAACATAAGACGAGCCATACACGAAGGCTGGCGAATAGTAAAGGCATGATAAACGGTGTTATTCAAACTCCGGCAGCAATGTTGCCGGTATGTGGGTATCTAAAACACAGTCTAACCCTCCGCTGCCATGACATTATTCATCGTTTTCCACCTGACTGAAATGTTATATACCGAAAGATACCGCCTTTTGTCCGACGCCTGATCCAACGTTGCGCCAGGATGACTTCCCAAAATCAAAGAGCCATGCTGGCATGGACTTCAATCCAGCGACCCGTTGACCGAGTTCCACCATCTCCAGATCCCGGACAGCAGGGCCGCAGTCTCCCACGCGTTCCCAAGGGCACCTGAGCGGCCCGATCCTAGGAGCGCAAACACAAAATCCTTTCTGAAACTCAAAGCGTGAGCAATCACGGCGACGACCTCTTTCCCGTCGCTCGCGAACCCATTCTCCCTGCTTTTCCTCTTTCCCCCCACGCCGACCTCCTGCGACCCCAAGCGCACCAGCTTCCAGCCGCTCGAGTACCCCGCGAGGCCTTTGACCTCCTTCCCCTTGGAAGGCCTCCATTGGAACCTTTCCGAGCGCCCTGCGATATCGATCACCAGCTCCAGCGTGTTGCGATGCCCCCATTTGGAATCCCAAAGTCGGTACATCTCGACCTGTTCTCCCACTCCTCTCAAGCCCTCAATAGCATGGAGTGTAAAGTTGAAAATCTCTTGCTCTTTCCCACCATAGGACCTTGCTTCGAATTTTCTGCTCATGGTGGCGAGTATGTCGTTGTCTGGATTGAGTCCGTCGCGGATGTGAAGGGACTCTGATCTCCCGCTCAGGATACAGCTGACGCAGACGCGGAACCTCTTTTCGTCCCTGGAGGCTCCGAGATCGTAATAGCACCTTCCAGAGAGTGTTTTTCCGCCGTAACCATTGAGATTTTGAGGGAACCCGAACGCCCGGGATACCCTTCCCAGCGAATCTGGCGAGAGCCAACGAGAGTCTTCCTCTTTGGTATATGGTGGAGGAGGGTCGTCGATGACCAACTGGGGCAATTGCCAGCTCGATCGTTCCACTTCGTCCATCACGTCTCCCGATATTGCCACCGGGAGACACTGTCCGACGAGTAGTATTGTCAAAGATTGGGACGGTAGGAATGAATGCCTTGCCGTACCAGGGAGGTCATTGAATCCAGGCGCGATGGTCAGCCAAAGTGGAAAGGAGAAAGTGCCGTTTATTGGACGTCAGTTTCTACCGCAGCACATTTGGTGAGCATCTATATGTGTCAGTGAACAACACCGTGTATCAGGTGGTCGGGTGACGCAGCAAAAAGATGAATGGCCTCATATGCATAGGTTTCCGCCGCAGCGAAATATAATTCCCGCCGCCACAAACAGTCCCCATTGGATATTGTGAGTCAGGCCGCTCTCAAACACCGTGCCTGGTTCGGATAGCTTGCCAAAGCGTATATCGCGACTTTACCGTATCCAGTAATCGGGTGCTTTTTCTTTGCCAAGAACTTACCAACAGGGCTGAGGCTGGTGAGGCATTTCGCCTGGGCTTCGCAGGATTCTCAGAAACGGTTGCCTGGATCAGAGCTTCTGCGAAACTTGAATTCCCATCCTCCTTGTTGACGTTGACCTATCAGATGGTGGTATCTGTTGTGGTTCGAAGTACAGGAGACCGCCAAGGATTCATTATAATCCTGAAGCGATAGAATGCATTCCAGGCCCCGCTTGCCCAAGTAATCAGGGTACCGACAGGGCGTGAAGATGTCTTCTGAGACCGCAATGCAAGCCTAGGTAGTATCCGGGATCTGTGACGCCATCCAATTATTAGTCATACTGTCAGAAGCCGAGACGAAAGCTCCACAGGCGGCGGCACGAGCTTGGGTCTCCTCTCATGGTTCTGCAACGCCGCATTCACGCCATGTCATACAGCGAGGAGCAACTGGACCGGTACTTCCAGCACATCAACTACCCCCGGGAGAAGCATGCATCGGATCGGCTGCAACTCCTCGCGGAACTCCAGGCTCACCAGCTTGCGAGGGTCCCTTTCGAGAACCTAACGCTGCACTACTCAAAGCATCGACTGATCAGTCTGGACCTGGGAGACCTCTTCGACAAGGTGGTCGTGCAGGGCAAGGGTGGCTACTGCATGGAGCTCAATGCCTTGTTCGGCGCCGTTCTGAAAGGTCTTGGCTTCAACCTCATCAGCGTCGGTGGGAAGGTCAAGGAGGAGGAGGACCGCTTCGGAGGGTGGTAAGCAGACACGCCGCACGTAGCCCCCGACGCAATCCCTTCGCTCACATCAACTAGGGCGCATATGCTGAACCTCGTCACCATCGACGGCCAGCGCTACATGGTAGACGTCGGCTTCGGCAAGGGCGGGGCCATGATCCCCGTTCCGCTGCACAGGGACTCCGGCGCCGAATTCACCACCGTAGCGCCCCTGCGCGGCAAGCTCGTGTACGAGAGGCTGGAGCAGAACACCGACCCGGGCCAGCGCATGTGGGTGTACTACTCCACGGACAGCGCCGACGGGCCCTTCCGACAGCGCAACTGTTTCACGGAGCAGGAGTTCTTCCCCGAGGACTTTGAGGTCATGAACCACGCCGTCATGAGCCTGCCCACGAGCTACTTCGTCAAGACTGTCCTGTGCGTGCGGACGATGCTGAACCCCGAGACGAAGAAGGCGGACGGCACGATTGCGCTGCACAAGAACGAGGTCAAACGCAAGATCGGCGACAAGCTCGAGCTTCTCGAGACCCTGAAGAACGAGGCGGAGCGGGTCAGGGCCATCGAAAAGTACTTTGATATCGCACTGACACCGGGTGAGCAGAAGGCGATCAAGGGCATGCCTCAAGAGCTGCTGGAAGCGAAGTGAGGTAAAAGAAAAAGAAGAAAAAAAGCAAGACACAACTTTGCAGCTTAATCTAGGGGCATAGAGGCGATGAATCGTCGTCACTACCAATACGAACTGCTTTAGTGCACCACTCGGTCCCTCTGGATTAACATTGTGCACATCAGTCTCGACTTTATTGGAGAAGTTGCAAGGCCCGGATAGTCTGCTCTGAATGCAACTCTCGTAGCCCCGGGTACTGTCCCTAAAGCTACTTCGTCTTGGCGCGCGCATCCTTGGCGTGCATGTCCGCAGGTTCGCCGTGCTCCTTTCCCTCCAGCCTGTTTTCGACGTCCCCGACCGTGGCTTCCCTTGCCAGCCTTCCTGGAAAATGACAAGCTCTCGCTGCTGAAGAGCTCGTTCATCTCCTCAAGGGGCCGGCAGGCGATTTCCGGTAGGAATACTCAGAAGACGACGGCGTTTGTGATGCTGCATACGACGGACAGGAAGTAGAACTGGTATTCTGCGGATTTCGTTCCATCAGGACTGACTTGGCCTTTTCAACGGTTAGTTTCTACCGAGAATGAGATAATGGGAAGAGAGAGAGAAAGAAAGAGAGGGAAAGGGAGACAGAGGCCTACTCGGCTACTCACAGTCCTGGTATTAAAGGCAAAGGACACCATCATGGCGATGTTCACCCCCTTGAAGTGGGTTCTCGTGTCAAAAACCTCGGCAAAGACAATTCAGGATAGCGGGCTGCAAGTAGAGGAAAAGCTGAAGGTGAACAGCGAGGTGACGGCGATGAATCCCGACCGGGCGACGATGGCGAGCCTGTCGCTGATGCCCTGATACTTCATGATATCTTGCATCTTGATACCAATCTGCTCAAAGACGCGAAGATAGGAGTAGTGCGCCGCGGTGAGCCTTCTCACCGCTGCATGTCTATTCCAATTTGGAGAGGGGCTGTCGCGCCGCATGTGGATGGATAGCAGAAACGCCGGTCATCTGGACGGATGTGTGGATGGCACGGCACATCACCAGACAGCGGGACGAACTCCTTGACCGGAAGAGTTCCATGTGCGGTCTTGTTTCCTGCGGGGTCTCAAACCCCGCTACGACCTTGGTCCGTCTTTACTCGGCCCCGACTAAACGTGACTGATATCTTTGTTGGAGCGGATCAGCGTCTTCAGCATCTCTTCATCCCCGTCCCTGGTCGCCGACCTGTCTGTATCGCGGGCGCGGTCAGTGACTCGTTTTCTTTGGGGGGAGGGGGTCTCTCACTATTTTCGGCAAGTATGGCCTACCTGGGACTCTCGGGGAATATGAATGCCAACTCAGCGAGGACGAGGGCGGGGGTGTTCTGGATCGCCAGGTTGCTTGACAACCTATAGCGCGTGGCTTTGGTTTGTTCTGGAAACTCGTTTCCCTTCCCCGAAGCACATGGGACTATGTCTGACCGGGGGAACAGGACCGATGAGTCGTGATACGTCTTGAACCGGCACGGGCACGGGCACGGGCGTCACACACCGGCTGGTCCGAGATCCACTTTTCCCGGTGTTCCAACACCCGGCCGCGGATTCCGGCGCAGCAAGCACCTCGGCAGGCCGCATCTTTTTGAGTCAAGGAGCCTGATGCAGAGGGGAAGAGGAGCATCCTGCAAGAGCAACAGACAGCTTGTGCTCCACGTGGTACAGCTTAGGCAAGAGATAAGCAATCCAGTTTCGGGTCAAGGTGACAAACATTCTTTATAGTGTAGGGCGTCACAAGCGTTCTACTTTTGGGTCTCACGGCGGTTTTCCGACGGGGGAATTAGAGGGTTGGTTGGTTTCCTTAACGACTCTAATCAGAAACGAAGAAGAAAAAATAAAAAAGGAATTGAAAGGGACGAGACTCGAACTCGCGCGGGTTGCCCCACCAGGAAACAGATGTTAAGCTGACCTTAACCTGGCGCCATAACCAACTCGGCCACCCTTCCACTGATCGAATGATCTGATTGGCTGACCTTTTATCCTCGTCTAGAGACTATAGACCTATGACTACTCGCCATAAACGTGAGAATAGTACAATGGTTGGATGTCCTCAGTGTGTGTATCGAAATGCTCCAGCTTGACTGCAAGGGCTTCTTTGCTCGATCCTTTCGGTTACGCCAAACTCTGGGAGTTAAGAAATCCTGTCATGCAAACTAATCAAACGGCATTCTTCGTGCGGGGCAGGGTTTGGCCAGCTCTCTGAAGCCGGTGCAATGCATCGTTCGTCAAAGGTAAAAAGCCAAGTTATAGTCATACGTTTACTATCGATGAATCACTGTATATTACTCTACCAGAGCTGTCCAAAGAAGAAGAGGCCCAGAGGCATACACCATCTCGAAAGGTCTCTCGAATTGCCGAACATATGCGTATTCACCCCCCTTTGGCAATATCGAATGGTTCTTGTACCTAGCCCCCGCGTTCATGAACGACCCAACCCGGCGCGGCACAAACCACCTGAGACGTGAAAGTTACCTTCCCATACAATACAGACACAACTTATCCGACCTAGGGCAGTCGTCTTCTCTTTTCCCGCGTTGCTGAGTAGCTGGAAAGGATTCCAGAAGCCTGATATTCCAGCCTGAGAAGCACGACATGATCAAGTCTGTCAACGACTACCCAAGTCGCACCCCGACACTTCGACACGCTGCCGCCCTCCCGCCTCCCGCCTCCTTGTAACTCTCTCACAAAGAAAGCAATAACTCCCTCGCATGCCGCACCCCTCAAGTCAAGGCGAAGGGCTCATCATGGCCCCTTCAACGCTAACCATCTCAACCCTCGTCCCATCGCAACCCTCGCTACATTACCGTCCGAGATACCCGGCATCGCCAAGAAAAAGGAATCACCCGCTTCACCGCACGCGCATACTCCCCCAGATCCTTTTCCCCTTCCTATAATCTCGCGATAATATCATGTCTTGCGTATTCCGCCTTGTTAGAGACCATTCTCCGGTCCAACCTGCCGACAAACGCCTGGTGCACGCGGTTGTGCGCGCACACCCTTCCCCTCTCCTCTCCTTTCCATCCAATGCCATCCCGGTCTCACGTTTTAGAAGAAGCGTCGCGAAACGAGGGCTCGTCATCCTGTGCTGGACTGAGGCCCGTCCGAGCGCCCTCACCCAAACGGCTCGTGGCGGCGCAGGACCGACAAGAGTGCTAGTGGGTGGGGATAGAGCCTGGTTGTTGCTCGGCACGTCTCAGCTTCCTTCACTCTCCGTATTTCCGCAGGTGGAATTGCACATGCGCAGCCGCCACATCACGTAGCATATACGACCGAGACGACGGCACACACGTTGACTGTGCCAGAAATCTTGGGCTCTGCTTCCTCAAAGAAAATGGTTGTCTAAGTGTACTGTTGATGGCATCGCTAGATACAATGTAAATGTCGGTAGTAATAATAGTATATCCACATGGGGAGTGCGGGGATGACGCCAGAAAGATTATCATCATCCACCGATGCAAATCCTCACTTTCTCTCTCGCTCGCTCTCCGACCCTCCTTAAAACGCTTTTTCTCTCCATCACCTCAACGGCATGGCTCCGGTACCGCCACTCGTCACCTCCAAGAATCCGCCGACCCCCCCTGATATTGGCGTCCGGCGCACCCACATGCAACCCAGTGGATCAGGCTCCATCGTGACCGTGGCAATTCATCCTGTAGCATCAATACGAGATGCTCCGAGACAGGACGATGCAGACAGGCAACGATGCTGGTATTGTTTGACAAATAATATGGTGGAAGAGGGAAACGAAACGAAGTTGTTGACTTTAATCGCAGCCTGGCTTAGAAGTTCTCCTTGCCCCACACGAAAGAGAAGCTGTTCAGGTTGTTAGCAAAAAGCCGAGGGCAATGAGTCTGACTCGAAGACACTTACCCAGGTTCACTGTACTTATTACAGTAGATGTGCAGCGAGCTACCCAGACCCTTGGGACCGCAGAAGAAGACACCGGCCTCAGCTGGCGAGTGCAGCTTGCGGATACCTCTGAATATCATGTCCCAGTTGGGTCTGCCGAAGTTGGTCGGCGAACGGAGACCAGTGATAGTGTCCTTGTCGGCGTTTGCATCGTTAATCATGATGTTCGTCGCGTCGTCCGCCTTGATCTTGGCCGTCAGGTAGGTGTGGATTTCGATGCGGTTGTCGACATCCTGGGCCTCGATGGCGAGAAGGAGAGAGCGGAACCACTCAAAGGAGCCAAAGTCTCTGCAGATCCAGAAGAAATACACCTTGCTGAGACGCGTCTTCTGCTGAGGGTAGTTCATGCGGTACCAGATGGACTTGAGAATGGAGGCGAAGGGCGTGACACCGATACCAGCACCACAGAGGACCGAGATCTCGTACTTGAAGACGTCTTCGGAAGCCGAGCCAAAAGGCCCGTCAACGTAGACACGGGGCAGAACACGGCGGAGTGCGGGGTCCACCTCGCTGGAATCACTGTTGACACCAACCACCTTGCTGGCGTCGTCCTTTTTCTTGTCCCAATCGCAACCAAGGGCGGTCGAAACACCGCGGGTGAAGTCACCGACAACACGCATGTGAATAGAGATGTAGTCTTCCTCGGGGGCGCTCGTCAGGGTGAACGGGTGGTACTGCCACAGGGACACGGCAGGGCAGCAGAAGAAGATGTACTGTCCGGCCTTGGTCTTGGTGTGCTCCTTCTTGATCTGGATCTCGCAGACATTGCTGGGGTGCTGAATGACCTTGGAGATATAGGTGTTGTGGCGTCCACGAACCTCGCGAGCAACACGCTCAGCCAGGTAGACGAATCCGCCGTACATCCAGTACTGCCAGAAGACACCAATGGCCGAGGTACCAATGCTAGTGCAGAAGGGTGCGAAGTCGGGCTGAATCATGCAGAAGGCACCGTGGATAGACCAGAAAAAGAAGAAGATGATGAACATGTGGTGGGTGTACCAGAAGCGCTCGTAGTTGGCACGTCTGGGCTTCTCGACCGAGGTCAAAACCATGCCCATCAGGGCGATCAGCATGATGTAGCCAGTCCAGCCCGGGCCGGAGACGAAGTTGGCGAGGAGCCAGCCGTAAATACCAAGGTTGTTCTTGGCGGCGATCTGGGCAAAGTTGTTCCAGTGGGCAATGGTGTGGACCCAGGAAAAGAAGACGATTGACCATGCAGTGGTGATGTGAAAGGTGATGTTCTTGTCGAACTGGATGATTCCGTTCAGAGGGGTCTGACGGGCCAGAGAGATGAGGGTGCGGCACACGGGGAAGAGGATGAGAGCGACGTCGACGTGAAGCACAAGGGCGGCGGAACGGGCGATGATAAAGGTCGGGCCAAAGGTGTCTCTGGCTATTTGCAGGTTGTCCTTGAGGGAGAAGTTGACCGTGGCAAAGGCAAAGACCAGTCCGTGGAGAATCAGGAAAACGAAGACGAAGCTGCGGGGTGGTTAGCGTCGCTGGCACGGGAGCGGCGAGGGGAGACGTACACTCTTCGGTATCCTTCGTTAATCATCCAACGGTCGAAGCGCTCCCGCATCGTCAATTCCTTTTGCCTCTCCTGTGTCATCTCTCCGGAGAGAAGCATGCGGGTGAGGGGCGTCCATCTCGAGCGCTCCGAGGGCTTTTCGGTGTAGTAGTCCATGACAGGCGGGTTGGTCTGGCTGTCGCTAGCCAGGGGCTTGTCGGTGATCGATCCCTTGCGAAAGTTCCTTCTGATCCGAACTGTCCCAGTTGGGTGGTCTTCTTCTCGACTCTTTCTCGGACTCTTCCAACTAGTGCTCTCTCAGTTGTTGTCTCTCTTCCTCGTCGGGTTGATGTTTAGATCGGGGCAATAGCGGTGCGAATAGTCGCGGGTATAATCGAGATCCGGAGGGGGTGTTGATTCAGATCCTGCTGAACTGGCGCAGAAAACAAGGCATTTAAATGAAAGTGTACGAAGAAAAGCGCGTCGATCCAAGAAGAGCGCGAAAACCACAGAAAAGAGCGGATATTGGAGCCTGCAATCCGACAGTCACTGGGTCAGCAAAAAGACGGTTTCACGCACCAACGGACGGTGACGAGACAACGAAGTGAAGCGGGTGGGAAGAGAAAAGGAGCACGGAGGCGGAATGTAAGTGACAGAAGGTGGCCGAGGAAGGGGGGAAGGGTAGAGGATAGTAGGATAATGGAGGGTTTTGGAAGATGTGTGTGAGTGAGAGGCAGAGGGCGGCAGACGGAGGCTACGGCCAGCGAAGGGGGAGGGGAGGGAAGGGATGAGGGATGGACAGAGATAGATGACCAACAGGGGAGTGTGGGAAACATAAGGTGATTTTGTGCAGATCATACAGCGACAGACGCAGCAATCCGTGGCGACGTCGCCATTCGCATGCATGCATGCACGCACTGGACGGACGGGTGGTAGGACGAAGGGGGTCGAGACAGAGGCGTCTAGACAGACGGCACTCACCTGCACTCGATGCCTGCACTTGAGCGGCTGGCTAGAACTGCTTGGTATTTTCGCGAATTTGAACGGGCGAGGAGGAAAAACTGTCAGACAGTTAGGGAGAGAAGGATAAGGCGCAGTGTTATTATTGAGTCCCAGCTTGGCACGGCGGAAAGGGGCGTGGGGACAGAATGCAAAAGGGAAAGGAAGGGGAAGAAGAGGTTCAGAAGAATCATGGACGTGGGAGATCTCAGCATGAAGAGGACGACGACTGGGAGTGGGAGACCAGTCTCGGATGGAGGGGGAGGGAACAGGGGGGGAGAGCCGTACATGGGAGGAAGGGGGCGTGTGTGTGGGGCAGCAGGGTTAAGGGGAAGTACGGCCAGATTGTACCTGCCTTACCTTTGGTGCATTCGCACCTCTAACCTAGGTAGGTAGTACGTACCTATCCAGAGGGGGTAGGGTAGGGGCTAGGGGTTAAGGCCACTTGCGTGGCTCTTTCTTCTAGGGATGTACGGATACAATGTACTATGTAGGTAGTGCCTGCATTTTACGAAAACTGTACGAAGTACGTACACGTGAAAGAACAGACACAGCAGGCACAGGGCGAAGGAGAGAAGAGGGCAGGTACACCACTTCCTTCAATCGGAATCACCTTTGAGGGTGAGATAGCCGGTATACAGCGATAACACAATCCGACGTGGCACAAGAGACCTCAACATACATCATGCTTACGGCAGCTCGAGGGAGTGCAGCCTACCACGACGAGGTACTGATGCTTAGGTGGGTGGTCGGGGGTCGGAACTCTAGACTCAAGGCCGTGTGGAACCAAGGGGGAGTGAGTGTGGGTGTGGAAGAAGAAGAGGATTCGGAACCATACTGCGCAGGGGAGAGAGAGTGAGGATGGATGGATGAATATCGAAGGCGGCAAACAATATGAGATGACGCAGCCAGCCATAGAGCCCCCCCCCCCCCCCCCCCCCCCCCAGCGGTGCGACGCAGCGAGACTCGAGAGGTAGAACGGACCACTCAGCACGGAGACCCAAGATAACGCAGCAATGCGCCACAGCGAAGCGCCGCGCAGAGTGCAGAAACGATAAGCCAAGACTGCAGCATGGCCACGACGAACAGACCTGAGAAGAAGGATACGACACAGTTACGTGATAAACATAAACACAGATACGGACAAGACGGACGACGGGGAGGAAAAAAGAGAGGCAATAGTGGAAGAATAGCAATGCCCGTAAGGATACGGCAAAACAAAAGATGTTCTACGAAAAACAGAATAAAATAAATGTCCGTGCACGAGCCCAGAGCAGGGACGCCAAGCCAAGTATCCGTATCTAGTGTACACTAGAGCCTCAGGGGCAGGACAGAAGCACCACGCTTTCTTTAATGGGTCCGATTCCAGACTCGGCCAATCATCTCCGATCACGGCCCTACCCTTGAGTATCCGTACTTTGGACCTTCTAGCGTTCGTTGTTTGCCGCGCGGCGTCTCTGCCTGTACCTGCATCGTCGTCCTCCTCGTCCTCCAACTCATGCCACGACCCCCGACCGGATCGTCAAGCTCGTCGACATCTAGGTTCGAGCACCACCAGACCACGGCTCTTGGCGACCGTTTCCTGCCGCCGTGATGGGCTGCCGCCCAATCTGGGATGCCATCTTCATCAAAGACATTTTAGTTCAAGCGAAGTAACGGTCCCATGTGCACCACACCATCGAGGCGGAATCGCCAGGTTATGGGCAGGTTCCTTGCCAACATGGGCTCAGTGGAAATCGCCCATGGCTGGCCGATGGTGAACTACTACATCAACGATGGACGACCCTCTTTCGCAGGAACGAAGCCCACTGCACCACCTCACCTCACCGACTATGCTTGTCTTGTCAGTCTTGGCTCTTCTTCTTGGCCCCTCTGGGCAAATCAGGTACTCGGATCAAATGAGCCCAATCGACCACACGCAGCTACAGCCACATGATCCCGGCCAAACCACGCGTTCCTGGCACCGCCGCCGCGCCCTCCTTTTGTGGACCCGCTGCTTTATCCCGTAACTAGAACGCAGGGCCGTTTGAACGGGCTGGACAGTTGCGTCTACCCTCCCACCCACCACCCACTAGGTAATATCCAGAGAAGCCTAATGAGACAGCCGTGCATCAAGGCTGTTCGGCTATCGACTGTCGGAGAGCCAACGTTTATCGTGAAAGCCAAGAGAAAGCTACTTCAAGTCGTCCATCTTGGATGCCTACCTATCATCCCACCCCTGGACGCCATTACGGAGCGAGCACGCCGAAACAATAACCCACCACCACCACACCACACCACACCACACAACACTGATTGTCGCGCTCTGTCATCCCCCGTTTTGCAGCTTCGGCCATTGCCCTACCAACAACAAAGCAGACATCACCGTCCGCATACGGACAGCACATCCAAGAAAAAAAAAAGAAAAAAAAAAAAAAGACTGACCGACAGAAAGCCCGCTGGCGCAACAGCACAATCAGCAGTAATGCAAGCCCTCAGCCCCTTTCACCTCCCAGTGACCGCCCACACATCCGTCACTGTTTGGGCCGCGTTTGGAACAAGGCTGCGCTCTCGCAGCACATGTGGGTAATGAGGCCATAATCCCCCGCGGCCCTACAACCCCCAAACCGCCCAGTTGCACCTCGAGACACCCCGGAGGCACCCAAAGCCTAGCCAAGCTCAACGCTCCCGAGGATGAGCCGCGAATGGATCGCCGCCGCCGCCTGCCACCCTGTTCCCGCCCCATCGCTGACACCAGGGGCCAGATCCAGAATCGAGGTACGTACCCTTGGTGGTGGCTTTTCCTGCTTCTCATTGGTTCAAATGCGCTGGTCCCACCCGCCAAAGAGGGGTGTGCGTCTTGATGCGTCGCTTGAGCCTGTGTCGCAGCTTGTTTCGTCAGGGATGCTTTGACACAATCTAAGATTCGCATTTCCTTTTCACAAAACTGACGCCCTCATTCTTTCCCATAACAGAGGCTGTTCCGAGACCTGAGCCTGATCTCCCCAGCGGCCTTGACTACGGCCCCATCCGCCCGCTTACTCATCCGCTCGCATCTAGGTCCCAAGGCACGTGACTTCTTTCATTGGTTCTCATCTTCCCGTCTCAGAACTCATCGGCCATCGAGCAATGCGATATACCTACTCCGTACACACGTAAGCATACCATGTACACACACAATCGCCCTTGTCCCCCTTCCGCCCCTCTAGGTAACCCACTCTCGCCGGAACATCCTCAGCACGCCTATTGGCTGTCATCGCTCGACTCGCCTTCCCATTCTACGGATACGATGCCGCTGACTACCTGCCACGGCTCGGCTGATTGCCAAACCTCCCATCTCATCTCGTCACTGAGCAAAATTGATCCCTTGTCAACCACGCAGCATCCTGGGCGGAGATCATTCACGAACGCAGTCGTGGCAGCTCAACCCGGCCGGGAGATGACAAAAATCAGTTCATACTTGAAGCCGCTCTGCCCCTTTTCCCACCCTGTCCAGTTTGGTATATCGTCAAAGTCTCCCCTGGAATCTCTCTCTCCCTCTCCCCCTCTGCCTTCGACCGGCGTCGACGATGTAGCATTCGCTCTTCGTCCCCCCCTTGCTCAAACCCGTCGAGACGCGGCCTTAACCGTCAAAGACGTAACGACGGTTAAGTCGGCTGTCGACCCGCTCGCCTACACTTGACTTGCGAAGAGCTCGCAACCTACGTCGTAGTTGGTGGTAGGCCACACGACTCACGAGGGTTTAGCCCGCTGCATGCAAGTGAAGCCGGCAGCAGCACATCGGCCATCCCAGAAGTACGAAGTAGAGCCCCATCCGGCGCCCATCGCGCGCGCCAATCATACCTTGACGGCGTCCGTATCCGACCAACCCTCGCTCCGTGGACGGTTCTCGAGATTGGCACATAGTTTGCATCTGCAGGTCATCACGAACTCAACGTCTGCGCTTTGCCCTTCTGGAAGAGGTTCCCACTTTACAACCTCGTCCATGAGCTTCATTCCACCCATCCATCTATCTATCCGATACTCGCTAGCGAGTTACCTCTGAACTGTCTCCAACCACGACCTCCCTCTCTCTCCCTCAGCGACTTTGCCGACTGCATATCTCGACTGGACTGTATTTCGATGCCGTTGTTATCAGCATCGCACGTGTCAATTCATTCTTCTGCAATTCCAATTCCTGCGGTGCCCCATCGCTCGAACAATCCCCTGAAATGCAGAGGACACAAACCCCTCCCCTGCCCACCTTTGCAAAACACGAGAGATCCTTGGTTCGCCACGCCTCGAGTCTACCTACACGGCATTTCTACCCGTGGCATTGGAGTCGCTGCTCTCTTCCTCTCTTGCAGACCCGATCGACCAACCATTTCCCGGCGAGGAAGCCCATCTTCTCACGCGCCCCCATGTCTGTCGCAACAACCAACCGTTCTCGATAAGAGGCCATCCCATGGATCACAGGCCTCCTTCCGCCCCTCTACGTCTCCCTGTCAATGTATCCATCTCAGCCCTCCAAACACCGGGTTTCAAAACATGGAAGTCTTATCCCGTCCCCCGAAAACGTAATTCTTCCGAGGTCGAACCCCCTTGGTGTAAAGGACGCTCACTCGCGGCAGTGCCAAAGTCTGATGCTAGCACGGCTTCCCGCCTATTCTTCCCACTCTCGTGTCCATTCACCACTTCAAGTGACCCTGCCTACCTTTCCCCCTTCCCCCCTCTCTGCATTCCTCAAACGAAACCACGTGCCCGCGCGAAGCCGCACATACCATCATTATGTCACTCGCCCTCTCAGGACGAATGGAACCCGCGCGACCCAGGAACACGCCTTCCACATACAGCATCTGCCAGCTGTAGTCACACGTACTACTAGACGTGTGTACGCCCCCCCCAATTATGGTTCCATCCCATTCTGGCTTGTCTAGGCAAATGGACATGATAACTACCGCCACCGGCATCATAACTAGTGCAGCCCGTTCATCTGCCCCACTCCTTCCCTCACACGTTTGGTTTGGACTGATGTTCGAGCGGTATTCCTGGCCTCCACCTCTCCCAGACAAGAAGGCGTCCAAGCCACCGGCACGCCCGTCATGATGCATTTGCCAGAAACAGAGGGCCGCGGTGGACCAGCACGACTGGCTGGCTGGCTGGCTAACCTGCTCCCAGTGAGTACGTGATACAATTCGTTGGGTCTGCGGACCATCTAGAACACAAGAGACACACCTTTTGTGCTCATCCCATGTCTCGCGCGCCTCAAGGCCCTTCCCACCGTAGTTTCATTGGTCATAGACGGTCCGGCCCCCCCGGCGGCAGGCGTTCCTCTCGAAAACGGTGGAAGGGAAGGAAGTAATAGAAGAAAAGAACAAGGGATGGGGGCGTGAGATTGAATGTGCCAAGAGAAACCCATCATCGCCCGGCTTTGGATCGCCTCATCTCGCCTCACATCACCTCACTGCGCGCGCCACCCCAGATCGTCGACAGATCATGACCATCCGTCCGTCTGTCCGTCCGTCCGCCCCATCCCCAGGCCCTTGTAGACCATCCCACGTCCGAAGAAGAAGGAGAGAGGAGGCGAAAAGAAGAAGAGCAAAAGAAAGAGATGAGGGTTCGCGGGGGGAAGAACCGGGCCCTGTGTATGCGTGCCTCGCCGAGGCCGGCCCCTTCCACGGTCCGAGATGTTGTCACCTTGTCCGCCGAAGGGCTCGCTCGGTCCCGGACCCGCCATCGTCACCACCGTCCCTGCGCCGGTCCTCGAGCTATCATCTGGCGGACGAGGGAAATCAAGGGGGGGGAGGACCCGAAAGGCCTTAGATAAACGGTCAACACCCGGTCGCTCCGGCCCCCCGGGAGCGATGGTTTGGACCATAGACAGCCGTCCCCTTTTCCTTCCACCCCCCCAATCCCCTCCCATATCCAACCCATCGGGCCCAGTCTATCAACTCCGTCCGTACATCCCATCCGTCCGTCCACCCGAATCTCCCTTCGGAACAAATTATTCTTCGGGTCACCTCAGCCCCCTTCCCGGACCGACTTGCCCTCTTGTACCTCCCTCCCCACCCCAAGGGACCGCCGCGGCCATTTTCAACAAGAGCATCGGGCCGCCCGCCGATACGCCACTGTAGGAAACTAAGCTGGCGCCATCTCACAGGCGGCGGTCTCGCTCCCCTCTCCTGGCCCTTGCTGGAATAGGCACCTCGGCCGCGAGACCCTGAGAGGCATAGTGTCCATGCTGCCGCAGGCATCGGTGGCCGCGTGCCGTAGACCAACATGTCGGTGCCCAGAACGCTGGCACAACTAGCCTAGCGGGCCCCTCCCAGCACCTCACAGCACTGTACCGCGCTGTCTGTCGGCCACACGAAATCACAAAGGGACGCGTCATCACTGCGCAAGATAAGTCACGAGAGACGAAATCATGACAGCGAATGCCTGCCTGCCGTCTCTTCTGTAGGTGTCAACCAAAACGCACGCATCAAGAGCAGCCCCGATGTGATAGAAACATGAAGCCTCGCCTATGATAAGCCCGTACGTGGTAGCTGTGCTGCTAACTGTTTGATCGGTCTGTTTTCTATACACTCCGCCCTCGTAACCTCTCTCAAGAATGCCAAATCCACCGTCATTGATGTACCGACGGCAGAACCGCCTTCTTAGTTATTGGCCCAAAGAGATGCCAAACCGCAACGCAGAGCAATGACCTTGACCTAATCGTACGCCAGAGCTGTCAAAGAGAGAGAGGAAAGCCGTCGCCCGTCATACTCGTCCAACCATCATGCCTCTAGTTCCGTCTAAATGGCGTACTTGCGGGTCCACTCGCGGGCCGTGGCCTCGTATCTGGCGCGGTCCGTCTTGTAGACGTGTGCAATCTCAGGCACAAGAGGGTCGTCGGGGTTGGGGTCCGTCAACATCGAGCAGATGGAGAGCAGGACTGTGGAGGGGGTTAGCACGGAAGGCTGACGACGATAGGTTTCTACGAGACATACCCTTGGAAATGGTCAACGCTGGGCTCCACTGGTCACGCAGGATATCTAAGCAGATGCTGCCGTTGGAGTTGATGTTGGGGTGGTAGATGCGGGTGGTGAAGTTGACCTTGGGAGGCTTGAAGGGGTAGTCGGTGGGGAAGTGGATGGCGAGGAAGAAAACACCGCCAGAGTAGGGAGAGTCACCCTGAGATCATGTCAGCCATTGGGTTCCAGATGTGTTTTGGTGATGGATGGATGTTGGAAGGCACTCGGCTCTGAGAGCCACGGCTAACCAAACCAACAAAGCAAGGCGGGAGGGAGAGTGAGAACTTACGGGTCCCATAATCGTCGCTTGCCAGTGGAACTGTGAGAATGTCAGTCACTGCATCCCTTTGTACGGGTTACAAGCGCCGCGAAGACACTATGTCGTGCTTGGTTGAGTCACGGTTGGAGGCATCACCACAACGGGCGCTTATCAGGAAGATAGGGTCGACATACCAGGTCCTCGCCGACGGGGCCGGCGGAGCAGGAAGAGGGAGGATCACTGTCAAAGAATGCAGATCAGCATATTGTTTCTCTCAAGATCAATCTCGTGGCCTCGACGGCCGCCGTCGTCGGGGTTGGACGCCATGATAAAAGAGTTGCAGCAGGACGTGTTGAAGACCCCCGCTCAGTCCGGCGGCCCCACCATACGTCTCTGGCGGTAACAAAGAGGGTGGTGGGAGAGGGGTAGAGGGTTTGACATACCGGCCGAGGTCAGTGAGCTCCTTGTTAATTCTCTTCAAAGCCATTTTGGATGTGGTTTGTGTTGGGGGGTATCTAGAGATGGATGATCGCCGAAGCGCAGATGCTGTGTTCTGTTGTTGTGAGGGGCAAAAGTCAGCGAAAGCGGTCGGCAGTGGTGGGCTTTTTTTTTCTGAATGCGGGACAAAATGGATGGTGGTAATGGTGGTGGTGGTGCTGCTGCTGCTGCTGACACTGCTACCGCTGTCGCCAGAGGTGCTGTGGAGGGGCTGTCTTGTCTGGTTGGATCGGAACGGTAGCAAAGGGTCACGCTACCCAGGCAAACAAAAAGCTTGCCGGCGGCGACGATGCAGAGAGTCGAGGCTTTTGTTGGATTGTCCGTCGACTATATAGTATCGTCCGATGGAAGGTTTCACTCTCTGATGGGCGATAACAGGTGTCGATACAGCGGCGGCGGCGGCGGCGGCAGCAGGTCGGCGTGCAGGAGGAATCAAGAGCGTGGAGTGCAACGGGCGGGGGCGGGCGAAGCGTACCTGAACGAGGAAGTTTGTCCTCGTAGACAAATGCTGAGAGTGAATGAGGGTTTTCGCTGTTTTTTATTGTTTTGTTCGTTGGCTCGTTTCGTGGCCCGCGTTTGGTTGTGAATATTACAACGATCGTCAAGAGTGGTGTTCGTGGAGCAACCGATTCGCTAGGTCCGGTCCCGTTACAGGTTGATGTCGATGCTTGGATTTGGGGGTGGAAGGAGAGAAGGAGAAGGAAGTCACGGTCGGGCCTGGCGAAAAATGACGGGAAGGGGCGGCGAGTCGTGGGCTGGGCTGGACTGGGTAGGCAGGCAGGAGGAGCCACTTTGGAGGGGAAGGCAAGGTGGGAAAGAGGGCAGGAGGGGGGAAGCGGCGCAGAGATGAGGGGGAGGCAGGCAGGCAGGCTCAGTGGCTGGGCTTGGGCTGGAAGGCACCACTCTCTCCAGTGAAAGGCCAGCGGACAATGACTTGGTCCGAATGGTTGACCACTGACACTGACACCTGACGCCGATACCGAATGATGAGTGCCTACCTGTACTTAGCTAGGTAAGTAGCAGCAGGTATCCAAGGTAGGTACACACACGTTGGATTCCCATGGCTCACTTTGCCTCAGTTACCCTCCCCTCCCCCCTTTGTTTTCTTCCTTCCTAGTCGCTGGCGTCCACAGCGTCATCCGAATCTAAACAAACAGCGACCCTAGTGGTTGCTGGTGATAGCGGTGGCTACTGCCAGCTGCAGTGGGTACGAGAAGAAGTACCTTGAGGGGTACTTCGTGCACCGCCACACCGACAGCAAGGTATACTTGGAGCGCTAACGGCTGACAATTGCTGACCTGTGGCGGGATTGCTAATGACAGTCGGTTACTCAGCGGATAACTCAGCCTCACCAATGTCCGGGTCCATACTACCTACGTAAGGTACTCTTAGCTACTCCGTCCTTCCCTGGTCTTCCACGAATGACTAGACTGCTTGCCGCCCATCTGACTGCAACGCAGCCCTGCCAGGGCAACCAACATGTTCCCCCGTCTTCAGCTCTCTGGTGGTATCTACATCTACGGTACATCTGCATCTGCATCTGCATCTGCTCCCGCTGCCGGTAGCAATGGTAGCAGTACGGTGCTTTTTGAGCCCAACCCTGAGGCCACCAGCCGTCTTCTCGCACCTGGGGCGGTAATCTGGACGGGATGTGCGGTGGCCTCGTATGCAGCCACAGGCGTGCCACGACCGCCACACATCGACACGCTGCTCTCAGAACATTCACTCACCCATCGCAGCCCGAGAGAGCACCGTAATGACATGCCGCTGTTCTCTCTGTGGACTGGACCCGATATGTGTACTGCACATGTCATGCCTTGGGCACCGAGTGGTGCCTGACGCCACAGTTGCCCACCTTACCTTATCTGTTCTGCGCCACAGAAGCGTCCCACCTTGGGTCTGAACCCTCTCTCCTCTGCCGGCTGTTGCCGAATACACTGCATTAATTACATCCTACGTAGTTAAGGCCCAAGGCTGTCCCTGGCACGTTTCAACCTCCAACACGCCCTCAGTTTCCTGTTCCTGTTATGCCCTTGCTACTTCCCGGCTTAGCCCACTGTCCCTGTTGGCTTCGTACGCCGGCGCAGCGCCGAGTTGATCTTCCATACTGCATGTTGTGGCTGTGTCCCCGGTCTCAAAGAGCCTCGTCTCCTGGCACCGGGGTTCTAGGTAATCAAATTCTTAGCATGTAGTCACTGATTAGCATTGATGGACCGAGATATCCATCACATACGGCAGGCAATGATCTGAGGAACCAGCGCTGCTCATTAAGGCGGGGTGGTAATCCAAAGTCCAAAAGGATTCGCTTTGACGGTACGGAGTAAAGGCTGCAACGACGTCATGAGCGACGCCGACACCGGGTCTTAGGTAATCACTTCTCTCAATACGCCAGCCAATGAGAGACGCCCCAGATTAGTGGTCCATTTGTGCCTCGGACGACGCTCGGGACGGTTATCGGCGGGGAAAGGCGCCGCTGGGCCGGCAGTTGGAGAGTATCCGTGGATGCTGCTTCCTGTGCCCACCATGTCTGCACGATACTCCTCAAAGCCGCCGTGAGGACGACCCAATTGAACGACTTTCAACATGTATCGACCCGCCCTGAGGATATGCGCAAAACGGTGCGCCGTGGCGCCTTCCCGCCGTGTTGTGCCCCCCGCCGCCGTGAGGACCTTCGCCTCGACTCCCGACGGCCCCGTCTTCAACTGGGAGGACCCCCTGAACTCCAAGAACCTCCTGAACGATGAGGAGCTCGCCATATCCGAGACTGCCGAGCGGTACTGCCAAGAGCGCATGCTCCCGCGCGTGCTCCGTAAGTCCCATCTTGTGCCCGCCCGCCCGTACAGCGCGCGACTGACGTTGTGGGCGCAGAGGCCTACCGCGACGAGCAATACGACAAGAAGATACTCGAGGAGATGGGCGAGCTGGGGCTTCTCGGCGCAACGATCGAGGGCTACGGCTGCGCGGGGGTGTCGACCGTTGCCGGCGGCCTCATCACCAAGGCCGTCGAGAGGGTCGACAGCGGCTATCGCTCCGGCATGTCCGTTCAGTCGTCGCTGGTCATGGGCGGCATCGCCGAGTTCGGCACACAGGAGCAGAAGGACAAGTATCTGCCTGCGATGGCCGCGGGCAAGATGCTGGGCGCCTTCGGCTTGACGGAGCCCAACCACGGCAGCGACCCCGGCTCGATGGAGACGGTGGCGAGGCCCCATCCGACCAAGAAGGGCTACTACTCCCTCTCCGGGTCCAAGACGTGGATCACAAACTCGCCCATCGCCGACGTGCTCCTCGTCTGGGCGAAGCTGCAGGAGACAGGCAAGATCAGGGGCTTCCTGGTCGAGCGGTCGCAGTGCCCCGCCGGCACCCTCGAGACGCCCCCGATCAAGAACAAGAACGGCCTGCGCGCCTCCATCACCGGCATGATCCAGCTCGATGACGCCCCCGTGCCCGCCGAGAACATGTTCCCCTCCGTCGAGGGCCTGCGCGGCCCCTTCTCCTGCCTCAACAGCGCGCGCTACGGCATCGCGCTCGGAGTCATGGGCGCCCTCGAGGACTGCGTCGCCCGCGCGCGCGCCTACGCCCTCGAGCGCCGACAGTTCAAGAACAACCCCCTCGCCCGCTACCAGCTCGTGCAGAAGAAGCTCGCCGACGCCGCCACCGACGCCGCCTACGGCACCGTCGCCGCCATCCAGGTCGGCCGCCTCAAGGACGAGGGCAAGGCGACGCCCGAGATGATCAGCATGGTGAAGCGCCAGAATTGCGACCGCGCCCTGCACAACGCCCGCGTGCTGCAGGAGATCTTTGGCGGGAACGCGGTCAGCGACGAGTACGCCATCGGCCGCCACGTCGCCAACCTCTTCGTCACCCAGACGTACGAGGGCCAGAGCGACATCCACAGTGAGTCTTTCCCCGGTGGCCTTGCGTGAGGTTGAAATCTGTTTTTCTAACCAGTCTGTCTTTCCCAGGCCTCATCCTCGGTCGGGCCATTACCGGTATTCAGGCCTTCGTATGAGCGCGTTGGGATGTAGCGTGTGTGACATGTATAGATGCATCCGGGCAACAGGCACGACTACCTCAAACAATATGACTGCATAATCTTGATTCCTAACGGCCCGTGAGATATGTATGGAGAAGTAGCCACGGTGGCTATCGTCGAGAGGGCATGAGGAAACGGTATAACAGGGCGGGCATAGGGACAATGGGGAGGGTGGTGTAGTGTTACGCAGAGGGAGACTCTTCTTCTCATGGGTGAGACGCCATGCGTATACGAGTCAAGGTACTTTTATCTATCGGGCATACTGTGGCAATGCTTAGTTGACGAGCGAGATGGGTAAATAAACTGATGTTGTGTCGTCAAGCCATCAAACTCGCGATACGCTCCCCCCTACCATTGCCATCTCGTTCTCGTGAAGTCTAGCTTGAGACAGCTTGACAAAGGAAAACGACTTCATCCGAAGGGATATAATTTCACACGGCGATACCTCCAGGTTGGCAGTGGTAGATATATGGCTGCTATCTTGCAAGACAACCACCGATTGAAAGGCAACGCGCCCGCGGGCCTTAACCGTATAGTCTTTCCGATCGTTCTTGTTGTAAAAAAAAATTAAATTCCACCAGTAGCAGAGTATAGAAACTCCAGCCTGTTATGTCCCACATATTTGTTCATTTTCTGCTGTGGTGTTTAATCGCTATGGTTTGGAATGACAGTCGCATCAGATATTGATGATCATGATAATAAGCGTTCCGGAAAAACAAGCGCAAGCCAGTAAATTGAAGAAATTGAATCACATGCACGCTCTGTTTCTCTTCCGTTATCTGCTTTCTTTTTGCAAGTTGAACAATGATAGCCAATACTCAAATCGGCCTAGACAAAAGCCGACGGGGTGGGCTGACGTCCGCAATGAAGATGCTACCTAACCCGGCTTGTTGATGGACAAACAGCCGGCGGCTCTCGAAGGCACCGGCGGGACGCATGTGGCTTGTCGAATCGTCACGCTGTGGCTGCTGCATATGTCTATTACTTCGTGTCCGACTCCAAAGAGAGGCCATGTATGCGATTCGACTGTTTCTGGCGGAACATGCCGAACGAAACAAAACCTCCAGCATCCCACCCCCACACTCAAGCAAGGCCGAAGAGACGGATACAGTATTTCATGAATACTTCACCGAAAACGGAAAGGGAAATCTTACAAACTTATAAACCACGAAAGGGTCTCCGTGATCTAGCCTTCACCGGTATGGTTGAAGAAGAAAGCCTGTTTTAACTGGAGCAGCTACACACGCTGCGTTGTATCTACGTCTCCCAACCTCGAGGCGCCGCGCAGGTCCGACTCGTCCCGTCTGCTTTGAAGATTGATGACCTTTAACACTGATCATGCCATAACGCCCGGGTGAAAGGGAATCAGGGATATATATACAACCGAAGGTCTTGAGCATGACACCAGTCTACGCCCGCCCTCACTTCTTCTCCTGCTCGACCTCGTTCTATTCCTGGATCCACTCGACTGGAATGCAACCGGCTAACCGTGATTCAGGCTGTGCGTAGCCTACAAAGTCAATAATGTATGTAGCACTCTCAGTATAAAAGCATACTACTTACGATTATGACAAGCATGTGATCTAGCTTGCCATATGTAGTCGCCAAGTACTACTTCCGCAACAAAAAGGAACCACAAGAGGGTTCAGGTTAGGACTCTCAGCATCGCGTAACACAAACGAGTCGAGGGCGCCTGGCAGTCCTGGCCAGGGGGGGGGGGGGGGGGTGATCCCCAAAACAAAAGGTCTAAAGATCTCCGTAGCAATACCAGTCTCAAGTTGAGTTCATCCACGAGTAGCCCGACGGCGATAGGCATCAAAGCCCACCGGCAACTCGGGTTGTGGCCTTGGCAGAAGTCGAGGGGATTCTGAACCGAATCGACAAGAGCTTTTGAGGGCTCCTCCCAGCGTTCAGCACACCCAGTACATGTATCTACCTGCTCAACGCACGCGAGCCGTTGCTACATCCATCACCCTACAGCATACCTAATGCCTGGCTTGAATACACAGCAAGCAAGGCAGAGAACCCTATCCTTATATATGTATATAGAGCCTCATGAGCCGGGCGCAGCCCCTATGGACGTATCGATACACGGACGAAGAGTCTCAAGAAAACAGAGGTTGTCCAAGCAAAGAGACCGGGACCTCCACGTGAAAAAGAGTGACATCGCAACAGCGAGTCTTGAACGAACGGCGCCGGCTCCGAGAGCCGGCGCACGTCGGCCAGCCGCCTCGACAACGCATCTCAAAGTTAACAGGGTCTGTCCCCATTTTCAGATAAGGTGACGCAAACCGCGAACAACGTCCAGGAAAATTGCTTCCCTCTCTATAACAATCGTACAATCGAGGAAAAAAAAAAAAGACGCCTAGCAATGCCATTTCATACCTTCCAGCCGCGGCCAGTGCCGATCCAGTACCTCTCTCTGCCTCTTCCTCGCCCCGCCACAGAGCCACCCCCTTGTGCCTCCGTATCATGAATCCCTCCTCTCGTGGTCCATCCCCACCATCTCGTACCCGCCCTCGCCGTCCCTCCCCCTCCCGCGCCCGCGGCCCCTCGAGAAGCCGACGCCGGCCTCCTCGTCACCCCCGGGGCCCCCGTTCTGCGCACCGTCGCCGCGGCCGGCCCCCGCGGCGCCACCACCACCACCACCACCATTGCCCGCGCCCGCGCCGCCGAACGATATCGGCTGCAGCTCGCGATATCTGGACCCCCAGATCGCCAGCGCCACGCAAATGCCCGAGCTGGTGGCCATGGCGCCCCACCACATGGTGTTCCGCGGCACGCGGCCGGTGTACAGGCTCACGACGACGAGGTGGATGCCGTGCATCGTCAGCGCGAAGTCGGGGACGAGCTTCGAGCGGCCGATGAGGACGATGATGGCGACGGCCCTGTTTTGTTTTGTTCCCGTTAGCCTCTTTATCCTCCTTGACACACTCGAGCCGTCCACAGTTCCTTCTGAAGCCCCCCCACCTCTGCGAGAGCAAGAGGAATCTCAAGAGCCGTGGCGCTACGGAAACACAGACACGAAGAAGAGGAACAGGACTCACATGCAGAGACCCCCGTCCAGCACCCACACAAAGGCGCCCAGCCACCCCTGCGTGGTGTCCCCCCGGACGGCCTCCCAGCCAAAGACGAGGTCGAGGGTGAAGCCGCTGCCGGCGACGAGCGCCGTGAAGACCATCAGCACGAGGGCGGCGGCGTAGTACAGCCCCTGAAGGGCGGCGATCTGCGAGGCGATGCGCAGCGGCTGGAGGTCGGCGAGGGCGCCCGGCCGGGGCGGCTTGCGGCGGCGGGGCATCCTCGTTCAGCGCTGGTCCCCCCCGGTTCGCGGGGAGCGTCGCGCGGCGGCGTGCAGTCGTCCTATCGGCGGGGAGGAGGGGTTATGCCCGGTCCGAGGCGCGGAGCCGGTGTAGTCGTGTGGTCGTGTGGTCGCGGCCGTGGCCGTGGTGTGGTTGTGTGGTTGTTATTGATGATGTTGATGTCACGGCTGCGGTTGCGTTTCCGTCTTGGATTTCGAGGGATGGAAAGATGGAGGGATCTGAGGGCTGTCGAGAGGGAGAGAAGAGCGTGGCAGGTTACCCTTGACGAGGGAGGATGGAAAGTTGAGATGCGCCGGCGTTCGTGCTTTCTTTTGGGAATCTCGCTACGGGCGGCGCATTATCGGGCTTCCCGGTCGTAATCTGGGAAATTTCCGGGCCGTTCGCTAGGATCCGTCCCTATTCTGTTTCCCCCTCTTGGATGAAAAAATTAAAATAAAACACAGGTAAAAGAAGTTGTGGAGTTGTCGTGAGTCGTAACGGATTGTTGGTTTGCTTTAGGTTGCGTTCGTGTCACGTCCGAGCTGCCACACTTCTTGACACTTCGTCACGGAAGGTCGGGCGGCGTCAACAGTCTTGCGCCACACCTGGGCTGGAGCGTCTGACTTCTGGCGACCGTAGCAGCAGAGGGAGCTTCCCGTTCGCGCCAAGTCACTGGGTGAAGGCCCGCCCGCAGGGGCTTGGAGGCTGAAGCGGGAACCGCTATAACCCCTGTAGAGCCACGCTAGTCCTTTTATGGACACCGCTTGACTTTTCTGCCGGCCCGAACCTGGACATTTCGAAAGTCCATCTTCAACGCCAGAGGAACCGACTGTCATTGAAGGAATATACCTAACCCCTCCAACACCAATCGATACGAACCGACCACGAGCCTTCCTCTCGAAACTCCTCTCGAACAAAAAAACGAACAAACAAACCCGTATCTCTCCCGAAAAGGCATTCAACCGCCACACACGTACGCACGAGCGCACAATGGGCCTCTTCTCCTCCTTCCAGTCCGAAGAGACCCGCCGCGCCGAGGAGGTCCGCACCGGCGCCCGCGCCCCGGACCGCAGCGAGCGCCGCAAGTGCTGGGACGCCCGCGACGCCTACTTTGGCTGCCTCGACCGCAACACCATTGTCGATGCCGTCAAGGACGACTCCAAGGCCCGCAAAGCCTGTCCCGCCGAGAACGCCGTCTTTGAACGCGACTGCGCCGCCGCCTGGGTACGTTCCTCCTGCCCCCCCCCCCCCCCCCCCTTCTCTCTCTCTTTTTTTCTTCCTCTTTTTTTCCAAAGGCAATTGGTACAAAAACAAAACATCCCGTTACAGCCAGACACTGACACACACTCCTCTTCTTCCTGACAGGTCAAATACTTCAAGCAGTGGCGCGTCGCCGACATCCAGAAGAAGCAGCGCATAGCCCAGCTCGAGGCCGAGAACGCCATCAAGATGGACGTCACCACCACCTTTGCCGACCAGACCCCCGCCACGAGCAAGGGCGATCTGCAGGACATGCTTGCCTCGAGGAGAAAGTAAAAAGAGAGAGAAGGGAGGGAGGAAACGAAAATCGCAAACAAACAAACACCAAATGAAAAGGAGAGAAAAAAAAGAAAAAAAAAAGAAAAGGAACCCAGGTCGAACTCATCTCGGCCTACTTCTTCTGTACGACCATCTCAACCCCCCGACTTTCCCCTGGCGACGGCTGTCAAGGGAAACCTCATTTCGCCATTCTGATACCAACATCTCCCCACCTCTTCCTCGCCTCCGGTCTTTCCATGTACAACACACCTGCCATAGATATACTCTCTCTCACACTCCCCCTCGGACGACTGTCTTTGATACGAGGACATACATACACATGTAGAATAATGTATTCATGAACCAAACTATAGCTCGTTGCGGGGGATGTCACCCCGTGTCTATCTACCGCGTCTCCTAACGCCATACACCAACCATAACTTACACCACGCCTCAGACTCGTGGACGGTTTGATAACTCTTTCTATTTAATGCTACGTCGGAACGAGACCCACCCCGACAATGGGGAATAGGTAAACCACCCGCTCCATAGCCAAGGTAGGTGTTAGCGCTATAAAGCCCCCCTCCCAAGTTTGTCGTGTCCCGTCTGTCCCCTCCCATTTCCCACCCCTCCCTCGTTTCGGGATCCGTCGCCGGGCTCGTATGTGGTCATCATCGGATAAGTAAACAATGGCTTTTTTTGTTCATTCGTGATGACCGGTATGTATGAGAGAGACTTTCTGTATTCGGCAAAAGAGAAAAAAGAAACACCAACCCAAGAAACAAGAGAGGTTTTGATGAGAAAACCCAAGGAAAGAGAAGAGAAGGAAAAATAAGTGGTGAATAAAGAAAAGAAAAAGAAGAAGAAAAAAAACGAAGCATGCTCAATGCAATGGTGGTATCATCCATATGAGAAAACACTAGTAAAAAGCTCTGTGGCTCGCCTCTCTCTCTCTCTCTCTCTCTCTCTCGGCTCTCTGTTGAGTTGGTCCGTTGTAGGACCTTGGCTCGTCGAACGAGCTTGCAGAATTCGTTATAGACCCTCCCGTGGATGCGATTGTGGTTTTGCTTTCGTCGGCTCTTCCGCTGCGTCGGCCGTGTCCCTCCCCTCGTCTTCCTCTCCTGCGTGGCTGCACCCTCCCACTCGTACTCGTGACAATGCGGATCCCTCCCTAATCTCACTTCCGCGTCAAGAAACTTGCGCCCTATGCGAGACCCGCGCGCATTTTGCTCTTCCCGCCTGCTTCGTTGGGGAGCGGCGGCAGGGCCTTATCCAGCGAGTCCCGGCTGAGACGAGCCTTGATCGAGTCTTCCCGGCCCACTGCGGAGCCGTTGCCGTTGCCGTTGGGCAGCGCTCCGTAGCCGCTGTCCTGGCTCTCGGGCTTGAGATGGTGTCCCTTTGGCGGCGTGGGCGGCGCGTAGTCCCTCAGCCCCGGGAACCTGGCATCCATACCCGTTTTCGCTGGCGTGGCAGGTCGGTAGTCGTCGCTGTTCCGGCTGCCGCCGCTCTTGCTTCGCCCACCGAGCGACGATGCCTCGGCCGCCTCCTCCACCACGGGAAGGATAGGCGTACCTTGGCCGCCAGACTCCCGTCGCTCCGTCATCTTGGCCGTCGAGAGGACCATTTCGGGCACGTTGGCTTCGGACGCCCCGTATCTCTCTGACCTGCGAGCGTCTTGCTGTGCTCGTTCGACAGTCTCGCGTGCTTCCGGCGACATCGGGGCGCCGCTAGGCGGTGTCGGCGGTGGCTGGTAGTTGGGCATCGGCGGGATGTTATTCGCCGTCGACCTACGGCGCATGCTCGAGCTCCAGCTGGCCACGCGTTGATTCTCTGCGGCCGCCGCGGCCTCAATCTGCTCCTGGTCCTTCCTCTGCTTCTCGCGTATCGCCTCCTCGGGAGACATGGTGATACCCTCGACAAAGTTGTAGAAGCGGTCGCCGTACTGGTCGGGCGGGAGCGCAGAGATCTTGGTCTTGTCGCTTGTCAGACCCTTCCAGAAGTGCTCAATCTTCTTGATCATTCCATACTGGTGTTGTTCGTTAGCAGTGAACCCGTCAAGCAGCACGAGGCATCGATTTGTCTTACGTGGGTCAGGCAGTCGATGACACCGAGGTAGTAAATCTCTTCAGCGGGCGAGTTGTCCTCGTGGGTCGCCTGGAATCCGCCGTCGTCCTGGTTGAAGATGTATCCCGACCTGGTATGACCCTCGTCGAGCTCGTCTGGCATCTGGGTCGCCGACTCGCCCATGGGGACGGGGCGTTCGTGCCTGATCATGTTCCTCAGCTCCCTCGCCTTGCGGGCGTTCTCCAGCTTGGACGGGGTCCGCAGGAGGACCGACGGCGGCTCGCCTTCCTCCTGTGTGTTATCCCCGCCGGGGTTGAAAACCTGGAGCGTCTTTCCCCGGAGATTCTCTTCGTTGCCGCGCTGCAGGTCGTGGATACCGATGAGCAGAGAGTAGTCCATGATCTTGAGCTTCTTCATCAGCACCACGTCTTTTTGCAGCTGTTCCAGGAAGAGCTGCTTCTTCTGGATGCCCAGCTCGAGGTGGCGTTGCCGTCGCATCCAGTTGAGATCCTTGAGCGTCGCCCGCGGGTTCTTGTCGAGGTCGTCTTCCTTATAGTCGCGGCCGATGGTGGAACCCTTGAGGTCGAACGTGGTGTGGATGTCCCGGTGGGGAGGAAAGAGGTTGTTCATGACGACGAAGTGGATCTTCTTGCCGTAGGGCATCTTGACGCGGTGGAGGCCGTAGAACTGGGAGAGCAAGGTGTTTGGGTTCTCGGTGACGTGGTGGTAGTAGTCCTTGAGGATCTTGCGCAGGAACTTGTGCTCGGCGTGGTGGATCGTCTTGATGATGTACTTGTAGTCTCTGGAGAAGTAGAAGAAGCTGCCGCTCTTCCCCGGGGACCCCAGCTCGGAGAGGATATACTTGCCCGTCAATGACATGAGATAATCGGCGGGGTCGAGGCGGAACAGGTTGCGCAAATGCCGGAAGACCCAGGGGGCATAATCCTTAAACTTGAAATCGTACTTTGCCGAGGGCACCAACTCGTTGCCGGCACTGGAAAAGTTAGTGAGCTTGACACGCAAACGGGCCACGCGGGACTTGACGTACATGTCAAAAGTCGACTTCTGCTTCGCCTCGAAGTCGGCATCGGTAAGGGGGCGGTCGAGCTTGGCGTTGGTGCGGGACACGGATACGCGAATGCCCGTCAGCATGTTGTAGGCCGTGACCCAGTTGGCGTGGTGTTCGTCGACCTTGGTGCCCACCAACACCCGGTCATCGTCCTCTTCCTCCTTCCTCTTCCTCTTACTCGCCCGCTTTTGCCGGTAATGCTCGGCCCAGCGCAGGGCATCCTCGTCGGGGAGGACCTCATCGCGCGGAACATCAGACTGCATCGAGCGGGTATCCCTCCGGACCAGGTTGAGAGACGCCCTGCGAACCCTCTGGGTGGTGCTCGTCGGGGAGAAGCGCCCGCTCGCGAAGGCCGCGTCGGAGCCGCTGTCCTTGGAAGCCCTGTTCGATTGCGTTCCCGGGACCTCGAGCGTGTGTCGATGTTTCAGGCCGCCGTTTGGCGGTGGTGGTTGCAGGTTCGTTGACGTCGACGCGTTGGGCGTCGCAGCGGCGGAGTTGTATAGAGGCTGTGGCGATGAGGGCTGCTTATGCGCGGTGGGGACGGGCGACGGCGAGGCGGTGCTGACGGCGGTTGCAGGTGTTGCATGGCCGTTGGCGGCGTTGCTCTGAGAGGGTATCGGCGGTGGTACGTAGTTGGGGCTGCTGGCGCCATTGGTCTTTGTTGTGTAGTCGATGGATGCGCCGGCAGGCGAGCCGATGGTCGGCGGCGTCAGGTAGTTGTCCGTCGGGCTCGAATGGTCGGTATCGGAGGCGGGCTTCTTGACGACGGAGATGGGGGGAGGCGGCGCCGTCCGATCGGGCATTGCGACGGCGGCACCATTGTGGAAGGGGTGCTTGTGGTTGCTGTAGCCGTTGTAACTGTGGTTGTGATGGGAGTCTCTGTCGTAATCGAGGTCGTGATAGTCAAAGTCTGGGCCTCCACCGGCGCCTGCCGAGCCGTTGGGCAAAGAGCTCATGCTCGTCGGCCTCGTCCCGTTCATCTGCGTGGGGATGGAATCAGAGATGTCCGAGGCGTGTGTTGACGAGGTGGAGCTTTCGTCGAAGCTATCATGGAGGTTGGTTGAGCGCGAGGGACGGAGCGGTAGGGTGTGAGTGAGCCCATTAACGGGGTGTTTGTGGCCCGACAAGTCCAGTGTGTTGTTTGGGTCGAGATCCAGGATGTCAGAGTTTGGCGAGTAGATGCGGGAGTTCTCGCGGGTGAGGTAGGTGGGCATGGTCGGTCGACGGACTGGGGGTCAAGCCGTTGGGAGGTTGGATGCAGGTGGACGTGGGTGCGGATGCGACAGGGGGTGACAATTACGACTAATCCGAGGGGCGTCGTCGTTTTTCTCTTGTTTCCTGCGCTGGCTCTCCTTTTCCAATCGGCAGGGCAGGTTAACAGCAACAGGGGAGGAGGTCGTGTCCTAGTATAACGTCGTTTGTTGTCCTGATAGAAAACCGAGAGGCCGAGGGAGGCCTCAGCACATTCTTTTGTGACGAAGAGAGCGGCAGAGAGAAGAAGGGGGAGGAAAAGGCACAAATCAACGCAAAGAGTAGAATACACTGTGGTCGTCGTTCGTATCGTTCGTTGGGTCGGACTTTTTTTTTTCTTTTCCCTTTCTTTTAGGGGTATCGTTAAATGGCTGGGAAGGTTGTCGAACGCAATCGATCAGGAGCGACTATTGACGTGTTGTGGTTCGATTGCGAGACGAGCCACAAAACGGAGGAAGCGGGAGATTAGGGACTCGGGAGCGCGTTGATGGTACTCCTGACTGTTGGTGTGGTGGCTACGTCGTTGTCGCCGAGGACCCCGTCTAGGTCGGAGAGGATGGGGCTACAGGCGCAACGGGAGCGTCGACGAGAATGAAGAGCGTTGCGAGTCGAGACGTAGGAGAATAATTCAATGGGTCGGGCATGTCTCGAGGGCGACGTTGGACATAGCTTAGACGGCGGGCGTGGGTGATTTCGGTCGAAGATGGTATTGGGAAGATAAAGCCGGGGAAGAGAGGTTTTGACGATGGGAGAGGGGAGACGTATGTAGCAAGCAAGGTAGGTAAGGTAGGTTACGTTATGGGAGTACCTACTCGGTAGAGAAGCAGGACTGACTGGAACAGCAGTATCCGGACATGCCATGTAGTAAGTAAATTTTACTGGAACAGCGGGCAGTGGACCACTGAAGCTGGGCAGGGTGACAGAGTGGTGGGCAGTGGGCAGTGGGCAGTGCGTAGTGGGCTCCCGATAGGGAAAGAGGCGGCCAGGGCGCCCGGGAGGGAGAGACAAGAACAGGGCAGTGGTCCACTAAAGGAAAGCCACCAGTTCCCAGTCACAGTCAGGAGGAACCTACCATGGGTATGGAGATCCCAACCTACCTACCTACCTGCCTACGTTTAGTACCTACTACCTACCGTACTAAGGTCTCCAGGACTACCTAGGTACCTGTATCTATGTATGTATGTTTGTATGCATGCATGTACCTACCTGACCAACCTCTGGAAGTCAGCCCCTCACCCCGGTCCGCCTATGCATCGTTGTGCATCGAACCTGGAAGGGTGCGTTGCAGATTGGGGGCAAACAAGAACAACGCACACGGGTACATTTGGCAGATACCTAGGTACCTACTTTATACTACCAATAGGTAGAAAACTAGATAGTTGCATACATAGGGGTAGGTAATTTATAGATACATGCTATGAGCGGCAGTGAGTGCATACCTGATACCTAGGTATCTATCTACCCAGTACAAATCGACACACGGGTACGTACCTAAGACTGAGAAGCGAGCGAGCAAGCAAGCAAGCAAGCAAGCAAGCAAAAACAAACAGGCAAGCAGACTCGAGAGGCAGACAGGTTGTGGTGGCAGAGGCTTGAGGTACGTACTCCGTTGCTGTGCTGTGTTGTTCTGTTTTATTACCTGAGGCTGCAAGGTTCCTGGATGAGGGAGAGGAGGCGCGACTTTGACGGGAATATGTATCTCGACGCACTGCGGGTGGTGGGAGGATACTTGCCGACCCACAGCGCCCAAATGAAGGGGAGAATGGACGTCTTTAACTGGCCAACGACGGGGCCTCTGCGCTGTGGACCAGGACTAGACGGGGCTTGGCCATCCATCCACCCTGGGAAGGCAGGAAATGAACCGGTGGCCCTTCTCTCCTTCTCTCTCTGTCTCTCTCTCTATGTCTCTCTCTCTCTCTCTCTCTCTCTCTCTCTCTGTGTGTGTGTGTGGCTGGTCTGCCTTTGATTCACTCTTTATCGCCTTCCTCGCCATCCCCGTTCCTAGCGTCTCCCTCTCTCGCTTGCTTGAATCGTCACGAGCACTCGACACACAATGCCTCGACCACGAAAGAAAGAAAAATCCGTGCCGAAACGTCACAAACCGGACCGGTCCAGCCATCATCCGGCCGGTCTTTCATGACGGCAAGCGCCCTAATGGCTCCAAAACGCACTCGACTAGCGGGGACATGGCACTAACATAGGCGGGCATGGGTAGTAGGTACACGACCGATATGCGTACGAATACTCGCTGCGGTCTTAGCTAATCATCATCCACCCATCCAGCCATCCCGCGTGGCCAAGTCTTGCCCCAATCTCGCTTTTGGTCGACAGCGCCATTTGTCACTGGGGTCAGTCGTACAGGGCGAGCACCAGCCAAGACGAATAACTGGCCAGTCGTGTTCCGCCCAGCCAAGACCCTCGAACGCCGTATTGCCGGCGGACCGACTGGGCTTCCGACTCGGACACCGACAGTCCCAATCAGCTACGACACTCCCGATCTGGCAAGCTGGCTCCCGTGGGTTGTAGTGTAGGGCGCGTCGTAACCCCCGAATGATGGGTTCTCAAATAAGATTGATACCGCTCCTGGGGCCGTGGGGGGGGGGGGGGGGAGAGAGAGAGGAGGATATGCTATTTACACACACTGCTTCGGACTGCTACCCCTTCAGGACGGGAGAGACCCCGCGGTCCATGCAGAAAATATGCCGCCCCCTTTCCAGTCTTTGCTATTCATAGTACGGATGGATATCCTCAGTGCATGCATGCATACGGGCGAAACTACACTTCCTCGCCCGCGCATGCATCTTCTGCACGCCATGTAACTGCACCCTCCCACCCGGGGCGCGCCGTGTCTCGTTACTATTGTCCCGTATCGAAGCAGCCTTTCACGCCTCACTCGCGTCCAAGTCTTAAACTTGCATATCTACGATACCTAGGTATTCGCACCCCGTCCCATTGGTAGACACCAACATCGGCAGTGGCCTAATTGGCCAAATGGCGGTATGCGTCTCATGCCCCTGACTGTCCCTCTCCCAGTCCCCCCCAAACCAAAACCAAAACCATACAAGATGTTATATTTGATTCGACTCAGGGGGGGGGGGAGCCGACATCACCGAGCAAAGGGAGCCGCAGCCAAGCCCCGTGGACCGCGCCCTGGCCCTGGATCGAGGACAGTGAGACCGTCGGTAGTGAACCCTTCTTCTCCCCCCCGCCGACACCTTAATATCAACCACTGGCCCCCCACCCCGGCTTATTACGTACGATGCGGAAAACCCCTGCCCAGCTGGACAATCCTCCCCCTACCGAGCGGGGTCCGTTGACATTGCATCTCTACCCTACCCCATCGAACCTTGCCCCCTCCCCTTTTTTGATTGTCACGTCGTCCACGTAGCACTGAGTATTTTCGCATGCACGTCGTAGGTATGGGCATCTTCAATTACACGGGGCTCGAATGAAGGAGGAAGGAAGAAGAAGAAGAAGAAGAAATAACAGCAGCTGAGGCGCCATAGTGGACAGGTTCGTCGCGTTCCGCCGCCCGGAATAGCTTTCGTAAAACCACACACATGCCTCTGCTGAGTCGAGACAGAACAAGACAGAGAGTTACGGCATACTGTGCCGCGGTCCTGAAGGCGGGCTCCCCGTGTTGGACCGCCTTAGCTCAGCCTTCAGGTCCCCTCGCTCGGTGCCACTAGCGCTGCGGGAAACGGGAGTCCCGAGAACCCCGTGGCCCGGTCGCCGTCGCCGTCGTCTGTCGTCGCGTTAAACCTCGAGGGTGAGTGACAAGGTAAAGAAAGAAGGGTCGTCGGCGAACCACGGCCCTGTCACCTCCTGGCCCCGGACTTCGGGACGCACATCTAAACTGCACCCATCTGTACTCTGTAGGTATTGCGTAAACTCCCGTGTCGTGTGTAGCGTGACTAAAGCCTACCCTGGGTAGTATATGTACGGATACCTGTAGTGTAGTGTACGGTAGTAGTGCACAGCAACCCAAATACAGGTGGACAAACAGCCTCAACTCGACGACGGGGGGGAAGAATCTCGTTTCGATGGCGGTTCGTCATCCAAAGAAAGACATGTGCGACTATCCAAATCCCACCGCCGCCTCCATAGGCCAATCACGCGGAGAACCGTGGGCACCCAAACTCATCTCATCAACATCTCGGCCAACTTTGACACCCCGAGCTCATCTTGTATGTAATGTAGAGTCCACGGGGGGGGGGGGGGGGGGGGCCGCCGTCGCGCAGGCTAACAAAGTGCCAGCTCATCAGCACCAAGATCGCCCATGGTCACGCCGCAGGGTCCGTCACCTTGACCTCTCCTCTCTCTCTCTCTCTCCCCTTCCACGAATGATACGCGGGAGGGGGACGATAAAGAAAAAGGAGAGAAAAGACCGGTTTGTTGGTACGCACGCAGGCCCAAACCGCGTCGATCACATTACACTTACACACTACTACCTACCGGCGTTGAACGGCGCGGTGACGTCGCAACAGGCTCCTCCCGGGTTGCCTTACCAGATTTACCAGATGGATCCCAGTCCCTGATTTTCCCTTTGGATCGACGAGGAACACCTCAGTGAAAAAAGAAGGACAAAAAACCATGCAATGACCTCACGGGTCTGTCTTCCCCCCCACTCCATGATTCAAGCGTTTGGTGCATCGCGGCCAAATGCCAACGGGGGGGAGCCAGCTAAAGAAGATATTCCGTCCACTGTGTCCCCTGTACAGAGTAAGCTCATCATCGTGCGTACTTCTTGCCTGCTGTGGACTAATCGCGGCCCGTGAGCACAGTGAATGCTCCTGTCCATTCCATCCCCCATTCTCGTCGTCCTCACACACATACATACATACACACACACGCACAAGCTTTTGGCCATGTGATGCACCTCTATCCATCAGTGTACTGGGTGTACGGAGTATCCCCCCCGTAATGCAATCTCCCGCGACATGACGTGGATGGATGCCCTCAACTGCCAATCCCCATCACCAACCCCAACCACCCCTATTCACCCCCTCCTCACTCTCAACCTCCCATTTCCTGGCCATCTCTCTCCCAGGTCGCCTCTGGGATGAACCCCTCAATACTACAACGTGTTGCGTAACCAACCTCTCTGGCGGTTTCCGTACCACACACAGGCGGGCACACTACACACTTACATGCCTATACACGCTACACGCACCCACCCTTTCCACCGTACCTAAGTAGCCCCCCCACCAGTCGCAGTGCAAGTCAGCGAACGACGGCGGCGGCGGCGGCCTCGCCAAGCGGGCATGCCGACCAAGCCACCCGTCGCGGCACGGCACGGAAGGGGGATCGCTCATGCTCAAATCTTCCATGCTCATGCGGCTTGGTTCACCACTCCTGTCCCCCCAGTCTGGCCTAGTTTAGATTGCACAGAGAGAGAGGGAGAGAGAGAGAGAAATCTGCATTGGAATGAATGGGAGGGGGAAATAAGCAAAAGGGAAGAAAAAAAGTCAAGAAAGAAAAAAATCAGATTATACCCGAGTTAACCTTATTTCGTCCCCCTTTTCTCTAATTCTCCATGTTCGTGTTCTTGCTCGTCTTCTCGCACCCCCCTCCCCCCTACCACCGCTCAACCTCCCTCCCCCGCCCCCGCCCCGGGTAAATGTCCCAAGGCTCGCGGCTCATCTCACTAATACGAGGCTTCGACCTGCCGTTCATAATGTTCGTCGGCGGCCTCAGCAGACCTGGCTGGATTGGGGGAAGAAGGGGGGGGAAGAGTGGCCGGATACGACCGCACCGGAGCCGTCCCGAACCCAAAAGAACGGCCCTCCTCATCGTTCCATCATGCTCCCGTCACTGCGGTCCAGAAACCTACAATGCGATCAAGGAGTCAGGACATCTCCCACCCAAAACCCTCCATGCAGACTAAAAACGAATAAAAAAATAAAAACAAAAATCAACACCAGACGGTTTTTTGGCCCATGGCCACAGACAAAGAAAGCCACACCCTCTCTCCTAGTCGAGCTCAAGCACACGCATACCCTCAATCTCGCTATCTTGATACACCCAATCTTCACATGCGATACCGTGCGGCTCTTAGAAAGTGACAAGAAAGAAAGAAAAAAAGCATAAAAAAAAGAAACAGGAAGGGAAAAAGACGAGGAGGATTTTTTCTTTTGAAAATAAATAAATCTCATACGCGGCATCAAAAGGCCTCACCAACTTTTGCCGGATGTCATGCTCGCTCCCCCCGAATTGGGTTCTTGGCCTCCATGCCGTCCGAGTTCGTCTCATCGACGCTCCAAGCCTTACGAGGCACTTCGCGGGAGACGTCCCATCATCGTCAGAAACTAATGCCCACGTTCGAGGTGATGTGTGTCTGAGAACCTCGACATCGGAAGAGAGTCTATACCAGGGCCTTGGCCATCAAAAACGGGCTCGGACGTTTCTCCTTCTTACGCGGATGGTCCGGTCCATCTTATGCTACAGACAGAGTACATTACATGCCCAACCAAAACCCCCCCTTGGGCGGAAGCTACTGGAATAAGGGGGGAGGCGACAATTCCCATCCCCACGAGACAAGACCACTCCCTCATGCTCCGGCCACCACGGCCAGACCATCGTAAATCATCCTCTTGACCTCGTAAAAGGTGCTGCGGTGCTGCATCATCGTTGCCGCGTCCGCGATGCCCACGCTCTCCACCTCCACCTTGCCCGTGCTCGTCTTCCGCACCGCTACCGCCCCGTTGATGACCAACGTACCCTCCCCCCGGAACTCGGCCGTGTAGCCCGCCGACTGCATCGCACGCCGCAAGTCTGTGAGCCTCAGGTCGCCCACGTGGAGCGGCTGTGCCACGGAACGCACCGCCGATGCCATGTTGGACGGCAAGAGGTCCAGTGTCGGCACCACCTCCACCTCCACCTCCTCTTCTTTCTCTTTCTCTTTCCTTTCCTCCTCATCCTTCTCCTCTTCCTTGACGGCCTCTTCGGCATCAGCGTTGGTGTCGGCGTCTTCCGCCTCCGTCTTCTGCCTCTTGTTCGCCCCGTCGTCTTTTTCTGCCATCTTGCCCTTGGCCAGAGCCTCCGCCACGAGCTGGCCCGTGACTGTCACGACACCCAACCCGCGAACGTTCTGCCACTTGAGCTTCTTGACGAGGCTGTCCGCCAGCTTGACCACCCACGCGTTCGTGTCGACACTCGCGTCTACCCAGGTGCCCATCGCAGGAGTGTACACGTCGATGCCGTTCTCCTCCGAAGCTCCCGACTGCTGCGCGAGGAGCTTCTTGCAGTCTGCCGCAAGCGTCCTTGTCTCGTCTGGGGTGCCGCCCACCAAGATGAGCTTCCTCGGCTGGATCAACGGGATCAGCATGTTCAGACTCCTCTTGTCGTGCAGTCCGCTGAAATCAACAAACGCAATG